TCTCTACAAGATATTATTATAGCATCCAGAAGCTCCAGCCAAAAACCAGAGCCCAGTGTGTCAGGTGACATACAAACACAGAGTGCATAGTGTTTATCCCCCCAAATCACCACCTAGGAACTCAGGAAACTTATGGACTTAAGGACCACACCAGAAGCAGGGTAACAATGGTATGGATTTTAGCCCTCCTGATCATTTTAACGAATTTAGTAAAATCAGCAAGGTTTCTTTACCAATATTTAAGCAGACTCCCATTTTAGGGGAACTCAAAGTACAAAGCGAGGGAAAACATAACAATTTTCATTTTGAAAATGTAACATATCTAATTGAGTTAGAGCTCAGTCTGAATGAGTGATAAATAGGGTATAGATATATATCAGGATCAGAGATACAATTTTATTTGCTGCAGGTTAATAGCAGCAAATAGCTGATAAACAAATTTGTATTTATCAAGCATGTTTCCAGGCTATTTTCTGGAATTCACTGCCACCCACAGCCAACTGAAATTTTGGCCTGATGTAGTAAGAGTTTGCTTAAGCAAGGAAAAAAATACAGGGGGATCACTTTCCACCCAAACTGACAAATTAACAGTTTATTAATTAAACAAGGCTTCTGATTTTATACATAGTAGACTACCGGACAAGGTAAAGTTTTAACCTACGTTTTAGTTTCAGGATTGTTTTTTTCACTTAAATAGCACAAATCATTTTTGTAAGGCTACAAGAGCCAAACAAAAAACCCCACCAAAACAAACACTTACTCCAAGCCCCTAAATATGAGAATGTAGTGCTCCGCAGGTTTCAACATAAAATGTTCAGAAGACTGTGTCTTCAACCAAATGTCTTCTGGCTGTAGCCATCACCAGTTCTGACAGATTCATCCCTTTTCATTATGTATCCTCCCAATTTTTCATAGAGATTTCCTAAAACATTAAAAAATGAGCAGATTTTATTCTAGCCTAAGGCATGAAAAGGAGACATTGCTCAAATCCAGAAGGCTACTTTTGATTAAATGAAAAATACCATTACTGTTGGAAGGAGATACACTGTGACATGTGGAATGTGAACATGGATACACTCACATCAGGGAATGCAGTGACTGCACCATTAACTTCAGTCTCTTACCCACCTTCATCTTACCTCAAATCACACACCACAGAGGAAAGCAGATCTTGTTACTAGACAGATGGAGGCCCTCTGAAGAAAAAAAAAAAACCTGCAGAAATCTCTTTAAAGCACTTTAAAACACTTTTTTCTGTTGCAGTACAAAATCACTGCCAAGATGGTGAAAATGCAGTCTCAGAGGAATTAGAACAGAAATCCTGTCCTTGTGAATAAACAGAACAGCAATAAGGAATATATCAGGTATCAGTAGAATTGCAATGGTGTCAATATCATGTGCAAATTAAATCACTCACATAAGTCAGCAGTCACACTGCTCCTTAAAAAATACCTGCAGGCATTGCTAAACATCTTGGCCACTGCCAAAGATTTACCCCTTCCAGCGAGGATATGTAAAATAGCCTCCTGCAGTATGATGCAACCCAAATGATACAATACTTTGCAGTGCCTGTGGCTGGAGAGAGCAAATAGGTAGTCTCAAAAATGAGCATAATGGACAAATGTTTTTATCATGGATAAAAACACAGCTCTCTCCAGCCATCACATTATGTGGGAAAGTGAACATGTACAGCCTCTGGCCAGAGCAAGTTATGAATCTTTACAATATAGATGTGTCTGTGTATATATTTATATCTATAGCTAATCTAATTTTCACACACTCACAGATATATGCATCTACATAGGTGCTTCACTGAAGAAAACTCCAGTCAAGCAAAGAATTTCACTGACCTATGTCTCTCCAAGCAAATCTGTATTAAATACTGTTCCTGCTTTTATTGATGCCAGCTGGTATCAATCAGTTCCTTCTTAGATTGGGTGCTGCCCTGTACCCTGGGGTTAACAGAGGGAGTTATCAAAAAATCTTATGGATTCAATCTTCTCACTGCAATGATTTCCTGACTGCCATCTGCATATTCTGCAGTTCTGCAGTATAACTGGGTTAGCTGTTCTGCAGGAAAAGACAAAGAAGAGAAGGTAACTCTATGCAAGGAGACAAAATCAAGAGCACTGACTGAAGCAAATGAAACAGTTTTATCTCTGGAATCATAAGTCCCAAGTTATTTGAAAATAGTAAATTATACAGATAAAAAGTCACAGATATTAAAAGACAGTTATCTTCCTCAGCTATTGCTTCAACTTAAAAGAGTAGCTCAATTTTCAGGCTGAATAGAATTTATGTCACTGTATCAATTCAGTGACATAAATTCTAAGTTTCTGCTAAATTATAAAATAAACACAATGATAAAAATTATAAATGAGACAGAAGAAAAATTCTGACAGTATTACTACATTCCCAGAAACAGTTTGTACCACACAGTGGAGTGGAGATGTCCCATCTCATCCTGTTTCTTCAGTCCATCACTGAAAAAAACTCCAAAAGGCCACCAAAGGCCACCTAAACTACTCACTGTCTATTTACACACATATTTCATATGAAGAGAGTACCTGAAAGATTTTATAACATTATTTTTTCCCTTCTGTTTCAGCTCTTTTGCCATGATCTCTGCACATCAGCCACCATTCCCCAGCAAAATTCAAAGAACAATGGACTGCCAATCCGAAGAAGAAGAAACCTGTGAAGAGGAGTACGACTCTGAAAACTGCACTTGCAGCTCTGAGCGTGCAAAATCTGACACAGGTTTAGTCCAATTTAAATGCTACAATTGCTATGGCATGCTAACATATCATATTTTGATTTTTCTCAGTCTTCAAACAGTAGATGTCATCATGCAACTTTTCCTTTGATATCCAATTTCCCCCATTCTTTCATTGTATATTTGCAAATATTATCAGATGAAATCTACAAGAAATCCCCTCTATCTCAATAATTAAGAAATATATTTAAAAAGGTCTCTGGATTTTATTTAGACATATAAGAATTATTTCTCAGTTGAAATCTCTTACAAAAGAGATATGGTTATAATATGCATTGATTGGGCTTGTACTGTTGAAGCTGTGTTGCAGATTTTAACAGGCTAAACTGCTCCAACAGCTACTAAGGATTCCAGGCAGGCATCAGTTAAAATCCAGAGCAAATTTTGCCCTTGCAGTTAATTCTATGCATATCCTTGCAACGAAAGTTCAGCCATTCCAAACAGTGTCCTTGTTTTCAGTGATATCAGATGGAACAGCCTCAGCACTGATCTGAAGAACCTCAGCCATGAGTCCCCTTGCTATGATTCCTTGCTATGAGTCCTTGCTAGGACAACTGTAGCACTGACTTGCTGAACTACACTGTGTATGCCAACATAAAAAGCATCTAACAACCCTCCTTCTGTGGAAGAATGATTAAAAAACAACCACTAAGAGTTAGGTTTTCTTCAATGTAGGATGTAAATCCTAAGTCCTTATGTAAAAAACAGCTTGCTGTTCTAGAGCTGCTGGCCTCACAAATGAAATCTACAGCACAGACACCAAAATACAAGCTAACATAATCCTGAAAAGCTTCTAGATATTATTAGCAGAGTTTTTTATTTGAATTGGTAGCTTTTCCTAAAAGGCTTGTTTCTATCTCTGAATTGCTCATGTGAATACCTAGAATGGCAGGAAATGACCATTGCTCCTTTCACTCCCTGGCCACCCAGACTGTCTGGTTTTGGACAGCAACTAGTTTTCAATGAAGGGGTGGTCAGGCATTGGAATAAGCTGCTCAGGGAAGTGGCAGAACCACCACCCACAGAAGTGCTCAAAAGATGCGTAGAATATTTGAATTGGTAGCTTTTCTATCTCTGTAGATAGAAACAATAGGCTTGTTTCTATCTCTGAATTGCTCATGTGAATACCTAGAATGGCAGGAAATGACCATTGCTCCTTTCACTCCCTGGCCACCCAGACTGTCTGGTTTTGGACAGCAACTAGTTTTCAATGAAGGGGTGGTCAGGCATTGGAATAAGCTGCTCAGGGAAGTGGCAGAACCACCACCCACAGAAGTGCTCAAAAGATGTGTAGATGTGGGGACATGTTTTAGCAATGAAATGAACATAGTGCTGAGCTGGCTAATGGCTGGATTTAATGAACTTCCAAATCTTTCCCAACTTTAACGATTCTGTGATTCAAGACCAATGTCCTGAGAGCTCTTCTAGTCCACATGCCCACATACTGTTTTTGGAAAATACTTTTTACCCTTTAACAAGTTGCACACACACCCATGAAATTTCAACTTTGCTCTCAACAGGCTCACCAGTAACTCTTAAAATACTGCAGAACTGGGTTCCCAGAGTTTCACACTACTTTGATAAGGAGCACTATACGTACGTTGGCCACCAAATTGTCATTCAGGAGTCCATAGAACACTTTGGAGCTGTGGTATGGCCAGGGGTAAGTACACAAGACCACATGCAGAAAGCTCACGTGACACAAGAGAAAATCAGGACAGCAGCACACAAATATTAAGGAAGCTTTCTTAGATGATACTTCTGACATTGGAAGTTTCCCTATGCAAAATGAAGTCCTTCAGCAGAAAACTCTGCCTTAGGGTAATTTGCCAGTTCATGCCAAAAGGACTACAGCACCAAAACATTTGTACACTGGATGTAGAGATTGAAAAAAAAAATTCAATAAGGGAACTCAGGAAGAAACATTCAGCTTTCTCCATGCTTCCAATCAGTCACTGCGGGGAAGTAAATAATCAGCAGTACTAATAGGAGGCTGAAAAAGAAAACTGTGATAGATTAAATAAATAAAAGATGTTAAAATTACTAAATGTGCTTCTTTTAAAGAAAAGGCTGGAACAGTTTCATTACAGTATGGAAAATCATACTTGTAAGCAGTTCTTCAGTCTCTGCTTCTCCCACTCTTAAAAACAGAATTTTATGCAGACTAAGAAAACTTGCCTTTGAGGGAAGAGAGATATAACTGATAAAGACAAGAAAATCAGGATTTCAAAATTGTTCAGATCCACATTTATTTAAAAAGCTCACAAGAAAATGGCAGACAATTTCAAAACAATAGAGAGAGCATATGGGCGGGTGAAACAGGATCTTATTCTGAAATGTCAGATCATCAATTCGCACATTAATCAAGTGTCAGAATGCAGATGGTAAAACTCCCCAAGAAAATTGAGAGGTTGCACAAATTGGACTGGTGATTCATTAGCTGTCAGCTTTCCCAGAGCAGGTAGACAGTGTTGCATTATGAAAAGCACAAGAGTTAAAACAGTAACACAATTCTAAAGAAGAGAAGCAAAAGGGGGAAGACTGCTTCTTTGGCATCAGTTTATGTTGTTAATAAACAGCCCACTTATATTCTGCTGATAAAATCTTTACAAAGGCCTAATAATATTTTCATACAGTGCTGTTTTGTTTTTTTCAAAGGTTATACTATTATCAATAAACAAGTATAGAGTTTGTAAATAACCAATTTTCAATATCTTCTTTGCTAAAAAAAATGGAAACAAAAGAAGTTTTTTAAAAATCTCTGCTGAAGCCTAAAGTTACTGTATAATAGTGATAGTACAGCATAACATTTATGATACTAAACCAGAACATTACTTCCTACATATTGTTAAACTTTGCTGTTCTGACTGTATGGTTCACATCTTAACACTGCCTATCCTTGTGGGTCCTTTCCAACTCAGCTTATTCTGTGATTCTGTCTTGAGCTGTCAGAGGACTCATGTAAAAGTGTGTAGTAAATCACATAAACTTAAAACGAAAAATAAATTGCTTTAAGTTTTTTTATATTAAAAAACCAGGATACATCACAATTCTTCCCATCTTACATTTTTGTTACACCCATCAGTGTTTCTCATTATACTAAAAAGACACAACACCCTTATATAAAAACATCTAATGAATTTTTGTGCAACTTAGCTCTTACCCTCTTATGGATATGTGTTAACCATTTTAGGCACTGGCTTTATCTCAGTATCTGGAATCAAATCAAGAACAATTCAACCTCAAAGACAAAAAAGTTTTGGAAATCGGTGCTGGAACAGGCTTGCTTTCTATTGTGGCCTGTATCTTAGGTTGGTAAATTTGTATTTCCTTTGTGAAATTTGTATTTCTAGTGAACGATGATCTAGCTCTGCATTGTCACTTTAAGGCAATGAAACAACAGTAGAAGTAAACTTTGTAACTGTTCATTTGTTGTTGTTTTAAATGAAAATCACTGTAAAATACTGTTTTGTTAACTAAATTACCCTAGTTATAGGGGAGTGGGAGGCTGGACCAGTTATGAAGATGAAGCTTCATACATGTTCAGCTATGTACCTATGAATTTTGCCCTGTCTCAAGTGAAAGGATGAGAGGAAAGAGCCCTAAGTTGTGCCAGGGGAGTTCAGATTTGATATTAGATTTTTTTTTTTATTTTACAGAAAGGGTGGTTAGATACCCTTAGATTAAGTTGGCCAGGGAGGTGGTGGAGTCACTGTATCTGGAAGTATCCAACAGGCATCTGGGTTTGGGACTTGGGGATATGGTTTAGGGGCGATTAGGGTAGTGCTGGGTTCATGGTTGGACAGATGATCTTGAAGGTCTCTTCCAACCTTAGTGATTCGTGAATTAACAAACTCATGTTTTCTTTAGGGGCTCACGTTACAGCTACTGATTTGCCTGAAGTTCTTGAAAATCTATCATATAATATTTCAAGAAATACACAGAACTTGAATATGCACAAACCTGAAGTGAGAAAACTGGTATGGGGAGAAGGCCTCAATGAAGAATTTCCTGTATCAACTTACCATTATGATTTCATACTGGCAACTGATGTTGTGTACCATCATGGAGCTCTGGACCCCCTGCTAGCAACAATGGTGTACTTTTGTAAGCCAGGAACAGTATTACTATGGGCAAATAAATTCAGATTCAGTACAGACTACGAATTTTTGGAAAAAGTTTGCAGTATATTTAACACAACCATTCTAGCAGAATTTCCAGAATCAAATGTCAAGCTGCTTAAAGCCACAGTAAGAAAGAATTAAAGAGAAAACTATTACTGATCTTGATTTAACGGCAGCACCTCACAGATTGGAATGCTTCCCAAGATTATGTTGCACCACCTGTGCATTTATGGTTGTAAAGTTGCAGTTGCATCTAAGTTTTGCATTGCAAATAGAAAAACCCAGCAAGGCAAAAGATATAGCAGTTTGTCTCTGGTTGATAAATATGACCTGTTCAAACTGACCAACTCCCCTCCACTGAAGGAACAATGTTATTAAGAAGGCTTTAACAAAAAGCATTGATCTTCTGGGCTGCACTGAACTTCTGCTGTTTGTAAGCTTTCTTTCAGCACATTTTACTTAGGTACTCATCCAGAAACCAATACAATTTTTAGCTTCAGTATTTTTATTCATTATAAAAATCTTTTAAAGTATCAGAGTGAACATGGTGGTATTTTGATCTTCAACTTTGCACATTTATTCTGCTGTGTTTTGTATTTTTAACATTAATAAACATCTATGTATAGCTTTACAATATCTGATTAACATGTAACTGTCTGGCACTTTTATACACGTATCAGCCTGTTCTGATACTCAGCTTAACCAGGATTTCTGAATTTGCCTGAAATCACTCCAAAATGAAGAGTTTTGAAAATTTACAAGAGTACCTATGCATCAGCAATTGTGAGAAACATTGTAACCATTTGAGAGGTTGAATTTTTCTCAAAAACATTAAATGTAAACTCTTGCAAATAATACAGATGTCCATTATTTTTCATCTAATAAGTAAGATTTTAGCTACTCTTGAAGTAGCTTTAAGGCCTTCATACAATTGAAATTAAGATCAAACATGTTAAAATTCAGTGTACCATAAAAAATACAGAACTTTTACAGGTTTGCAGTTCAAAGTAACAATTCAGAACATAACATGCATGCAGTAATTCTTTCCAAACTAATTCCAAATCCTTGATGTTGGCAGTTCTGGCACATCCATTGCCAGCAATGGGATGCACAATAAAGAAACTCCCTGATGACAGGAGTTAGGTTAACAGGTATTAAGCCATACCCAGGTGCCCTTACTGATAAATACACACAATTTAATAATCAGCATTCAGTAATGAAAACATGCGTTCCAATAAAAAGTCAAACTTCTCTTTTCCTATCCTGTCCCATATAAAATCATTTTAATTTTACAATTGTTGATTCTCTAGAATACACAATAATCAGGTGGATACATGACAGGAAGCCAATTTGCAGTGAAAGTTGCACAATGAGTCCATCCAAGCAACTTCATTAGCTGAAGAAAAAAAGCACACATTAAAAAAATGAATCTTACTCTTTTTAACATCTAAATCTAAACTAACACTGAATTGATATCAACACTTTACTAAAAATGTCTATAATCTGAAAGACAAGAGATTGAAGATCTGGTAAGCTTTGAATTCTTCAGTCCTGAAAAGGACCCCTCCTCCCCATTCTATATGATCCACATTCTTTCAACATAATGCACACAAATTTAATCTTAGGAGTTCCCATTAATTCTCCCTTAAGTTCTACGAGCAGTAATTATGATTATTCTAGTTAAAAAAAACCCCAGTGGTACAACAGCAACACAAGGGGATTTTTATGTAGGTATCTTTGACTAAGTTGTCTCTACTTCCTTTATGGCCCCACAGTAAGTTCCAAAAAGTAAATCTGCTACAAACAACAGTTACTCACAAACAAGTTATTCTAGAAAAAGGGAAAAAAAAAAAAATCACTGTTTCAAATGAAGACTGAGTTACAAAACCTGGAAAAAGTTAAAATACTACATTTAGTGCTTTCTAAAATGAGAAGAGTACAAAAAATTCCAGAAGACTTATATCTTCTGAAAGGTTATACAGCATGAACACAGGTCCCATTCCTTGGCCAAGCACTCCTTACCTGAATGCAGTTTTTTAAGTTGTCTTTTGTTGGCTTTTCTTCCGCAAGTTTTGTGGCAAACTTGAGCCCTCTTCCATACATTTTATTTACCAATGCATGCTTATAGGCAAAAGTCAAAACCTAGAATGTAAATTTAAAAAAAAACAAAGCAAATTATTTTAATATCTTACAAGGTTTAACAAGTGAGATCAAATTCTGTTCAGGTAGCAGAAGTGATACCAAGTAAAACATTTACACGAGATATTTGCAGTATAACAGATGATTCACAGTAGTAGTCATAAACACGAACTTCTTAGAGACTATTTTTGACTTCACAAACATATTTGACTTCAGAACTTATGTAACACAGATGTCACTATTTTAATTTTTTGTCACATTTCTAGCTTTTTTGGGTTTTCAATCTCTACAGGCAACTGTAAGGCATATTAAAAAGATAATTGAAGAATCACCAACCAGGCAGATATATTTTTGACCCAGAGAAGCAAAAACCAAATTGAGAACTTTAATTCCTAGGTAGTCACAAACTTATTGCAGAAACAAGTATGGATGTACAGGGTGAATGATATATACAGACAAAGACAGAGAAATGTACATAATTATAAACAAGCAATGAAGACAGGTAAGCATGAAGACAAGCCTCAGATTTTAGGTCAGCTCCTCATTATTGGTAACTTTTTAAGAAGAGATGATAAAAAAGCTCCTTCTTGATAATATTATTTCAAAAAAGCAGTCCTTACCAATGCAGTAGCTCATGTGAGCAAATGAATGTGTCTACCTAAAACCTAATAAATTTAGGTTCTTAACACCTGATCACTGACAGCATTCAGGGTGTTGCAAGATGGTTCAAACCATTTCACCAGCTGCAGGACTAAGAATTAAAGCAATCAAGACACTTTCATATATTCCCTTTGGAACACTCACAGTAAATAAGATATTTTTTATTTTTACTGAAGAGTGACACAGCAGTAAATTTGGTGAATATGGTGGTGTGTCTGTTGTTGGCAGTGTTTATGAAATCTTTCATTAGAGCTTGCTATTCATTTCCCCTCATTCACTACAACACTTTTCCTTTGCACTGACTCAGCAATAAAGATTGAAGATTTCCCACTTAACATATCCCATTAAGAAAAGCTAACAGAAACCCTTCAAGGATGTACAGAAACACGTTTTGCATTACAGAAAAAAATTAAGTATTTCTCAAGAATATAAACATTAAGGAACCAGAGATCTGAATCTTGTCAGGAGTGAAGAACCTGTCTAGTTTTAGCAGCCTGAACACTTCCACTTAATGTTAATCACATGCACAAGTCTTTGCAGAATCAATAGTTAAAATATAAAAAAAGAAAAACTTAATTATCAAGCAAGTCAAGGTGTAATTTTAAAGCTTCAAGATAACTATGCCAAAGTATTCAAGAGTTGCTCATTCTTCTTCTGTCTTCAAATACTTATTTTGCTGTATTGAAATATTCACTTAAGCTGTTGTAGCTTACAACACACACATATATGCAACAATGAGCATACAGCACCATTCACATATACAATTTTCCAAATATTGCTATTGGAAAAATATTCTGCATGCTGCATTCTCAATCCAATTATTCTGGATATTTTCCTAAAGCAAGACACATTAGCAAACACTTCTGAATAACTGCTCAGTGGATTTATTAGCAGACTTAGTTGGCTAAACTAAACTTAAAAAAATTGCTCTTCTGTAAAAGATGATAGAACCACAAAACAAAAAAACAAACAAAAAAAAATCAAATGAAAAATGTATTGGAGCTCTCAGCAAATATAACATTTCTGAGGCTAACCAGAAATAATGTCACTGCTCTATGAAGAAAGCTCTTACCTGACCCTGTAAGTTTTGAATGGTTATTGAACATCAGTGATAAAGGCAGGAGGAAAGCCACTTGACAGCATTTCTTTCGTAACAGGGCTTCCTAGAGTTTTTGTGGCAAGAAAACAAAGCATTTTACGAAATACCCTTGCTCCGGCTAAATAAAAGGTTGGGTATTTCTAAATGAGAAAAAGGTTCTCTGCTGAACCAAAGGGTTTAAGACAATGCTCCAAGAGCTCCTGACATAAGACAATAATTTCTGTGTTAGTGTTCAGAAAAAAACCCCAATCAACTGTATACAAAGTTCACCAAAACTACTAAAAATTCATTAGCACTTCAGAAGTTATGAACAATGCATGAGTTGATTTAAAATCAGAATTTGTTTACAAACAAAAGATGTTAGATAAGAAATAGTACTTTACAATTCGTACATATATTGGCCAAATTAAGTCTTATAGATAAAATACTGCAAGCTTTATAAGATCACAGAAGTAAAGGCTATGATTCCTTGATAAGTGTAAGGAAAATGTAAACTGCAGTGCTATTAAGATATAATAAACAGCTGCTATCTGAATGTATAAAACCATGAAAGAAACCTATTTTTAGTATCCAAAACCAAACTGTTAGATGAAAGAATAGTAATGACCTCAAAGTATTTGATATTATTTCATAACTATATAATAAAATAATAAATTATATAATAAATATAATGAAGGCCAGCTTTTGCATAAAAGCAATATGGGCCAGAAATTGCACAAAGAGCAATAAAAGTGTATTGAGAAAAGGCAATGCAGGCTTCTAGGATACTGGGGGAAAATCACTGTTAAGATCCTTTATTCCCCAAACTAATGGCCTGGAATACTACATGTGCTAGGACACAGACCCATGAATGTGTTTGGTTGTCCACCTCCTAACTAGCCATTGGCTATAAAGATGCATATTTAGGACAGTAAAATGCTGAAATGATCTCTCTGAAGACATTTGTGGGGCTGAAGTATTTAAAAGCTAGAAAACACTCTTTAAAAAAGTATGGTTGAATCCAGCAATACTAAAATGCCTAATGAAACTTTTCTAGTATCCTAATGTTGTTACCTATGGAAACAGACTTGTATAATCAATTAATTAATAATTTCAAGAGCTGATTACAATATACCTACATTTATCTATAGTTAAAATACAAGGTTAAACAATACAATCTCTAGGTAATATACTCCAGCTATTTATAAGGACACTGAAGTTGCAATGTTTACAATTCCCAACAAATGAGCTTTTTCAGGTTTATATACATCTATAGTAATAAACTAGGCTTTCTTAGCTATGTTTGTTGATTTTTCTGTGCTCTATTAACTGTCCTATTATAAATAAAAACTACATTAATAAAAAAATACTCATTTTCATGGAAGCAAGGGGCATTAAAGGAATCAAATATCCAGCAACGCATTTTTGGCAGTGACTGAATAAAATCAGCTGGAAGAGACAGCTGCATCTGACAATACAAACTGTATCAGGAAAAACAATCCAAGTTAAAGATGTTTAAAAGATAAGATGGAAAGCTATGGGCCTTTTACTTGTTATTAAACTTATTTTTAAGTGTGACTTTGTTTTTTCCCCACAGCTACTAAAGCTTGAGGAGCATTACATTCTACAGATTGGTCATTCCCAATAACAAACACACAACATCCTACTACTCTCCTGTAGCAGTTGTGTTTAAAACAGGATTTTGGCCTAGAAAATGTAAAGCCATGTTCTAGGAAAATAAAGCGCTACCATAATAATGTTTGCATAATCTATCAAATACCTGCTGCATAAAGCTTTCTTAACTGGAGTTTATTTGAAATGCTTTTGCATACACAGGGGACATAAATATTTTCTTTTGTGTTTAGTTTAAAATGAAAGTTCAGATAATAGCTGAAAGTATGAACAAATGCGCTTACTATCAAAATTAAAGTTACTTCCCTACATCCTTGCTACAATACGGTGACAAGCAGGTTACTTCAGTGACAAATAGACAATTCAAAGGAACTACCAAATGCCCTGTGGTGCCCAGGTGCTACATCTGCAGAGGAGAGACGAAACAAGGGACAGTACTTTATTTACTAGAAGGTGAGAAGAAACACATAGAAAAGTGATGATGCTCCTGATTCCACTTTAGAAACAACCTAAAAGAAAGCATGGTCTCTCTTGGTTTTCAAAAATTTACATAGCCTTTTAATTACTGACAGCTGCATGAACTTTATAGGAAGCTTAGAGCTAAATGCACTTAGAGCAATGCTTCTGTCTTAAATAATATAAATACATAATTGAATGATCAGTGCAGTACTTAAATGCCTGATTTCCATCCCTTTTCACCCAGATGTTCCATCTTTCGAGTGCCAGTATTACACAGCCATGTCTACATAAAAGAAGAGCTCCACGTTTTCATCTCCAACACACTGCTTCAGAGTAAGCTGGCTGTCTCTTGACAACTCTCCTTTGCTGGACTTTCACACAAAGTCTATCCCCTATCTGACTTGGCTGCTCCACTTTCAATCTGTGCTGGTTTAGGATGGGCTAATTAGTTTTCTTCACAGCAGCTGGTATGGGGCTTTGTTTTTGATTTGTGCTGCAAAGAGTGTTGATAAGTCAGAAATGTTTTAGCTGTTGCTGAGCAGTGCCTGCAGAGCCCAGACCTCTTCTGCATCTCATCCCACTGCACTAGTGAGAAGCTGGTGGTGCACAAGTGAGTTGGGAGCAGAAACAGCCAGGACAGTGATGCCAACTGACCAAAGGAATATCCCACACCACATGGCACCATACTCAGCATATAAAGCTGGGTAAGAAGTAGAAAAGGTGGAAGTTTAGAGTAATGGTGTTTGTCTTCCCAAATCATGGCCGCATATGATGAAGCCTGGCTTTCCTGGAGATGGCTGAACATGTGCCAACCCATGGGAAGTGGTGAATGAATTCCTTGATTAGTTTTGCTTGTGTGGAAACCAACCCATGGGTAGTGGTGAATGAATTCCTTGATTAGTTTTGCTTGTGTGGAAGGCTTTTGTTTTACCGACTGTTTTTGCACCCTACAAGTAGCTCTATAGGCCTCATAACAGTCAATCAGTTTAGATTTCAATTTGAGTAATAAAACTCAAAGTATGAAAAAGAAGACAAACATAGTACATAAACAGGATGGAAATTATTTCCATATGAAATGCTACAAAAATCTAGATAAGTTTTGATCTTTTAGTACCAATTTAACAATACAGAAGAATCAATTTTTCAGAGCAAAACCGGAATATACACTTTTGAGAAATCCATGATTAAGACAGTCAAAGAGAGAGGTTCCTAATCCGTAGAACTCAAATCAGTTACTTATTCAAGGCCCAAAGCACACAGCTCAGCAATGCTATCTGTCTTGAAATAAAAGCCAAAGAGTAAAACTCCCAACAAAATGTCTATATTGGAATTCTTCCTCTGAAATTATTCCCATCAGCTTTAAAAAAATAAAGAGTAGGAGACAAATAAACCAGGGGTTACTATGCTGGAGCGAAGTACTGCATTTACAAACAGACAGCAAGAAAATCATGTGCCAAACAATATGACTGAAGCACAAAATCTGCTACCACATGATATTATTGTCAGTTAACGATTAGAGGAGATACGCTGAAAAGATGTATGTGCACAAGGACATATACATTAAAGTAAGGAGGGTAAGCACCATCAACCTTCCTGCCCAGGCCTCCACCAAAAGCACAAGTTCTTACAGGAAAAGTTTATCTACTGTCAAGGAAGTTAAATGCTTTATCTTGTTTGTTTTTTTCTACTTGTATAAGTTTTTCTTTTGTAACAATCTGAAGCACTTTGGTAATTTTAAATAATTATCAACAAATACCCTGGTTACTTCATCTTCCACTAAAACACAGCCAAATGTGACAGTTAAGTTCAGAAACTAATTAACATCATTAGCTCAAAAGTTAAAAATACAAAGTCATAACCTCTCTAAATTAAAAGCTACATAATTAATCACCTACAATGGATTTTTTCCCCTTCTGAAATTGCTGTCTTGAACAAAGTAGAAAAAAAATTCAGATCTTGGGATCAGAAATACTGAAATGACAGGGAAGTCTGTGCTAATAAATATGTTAAGCGTAATTATTTCCGAGGGTTTCTTCCTTTACCTCTACAGACATTACTGACAGCAAAACACAAAACTTCTCTTGTCCATAGTGTGGAAGAGGCTACAGCATGCAGGACTGAACAGGGTGGGGTGCTGCACACCTCTGTGTGTACAGCTACAAGAGCGCAGAGGTTAATCGAAAATATTCCCTGGAAAGTACAGAAAGAAGCAATTCAATAAAGGAAGCAGCTTTTTTGTGGAAATCTGGCACTGTCTTACACCCTTCCCTTAACCTCTACATTCACTTGAACAGAGACAGGCCTACCATGAATTTGACAGGCTTGGCAAATCTCTGTAGAAAAAGGTCAAAGGAAGCACAAGGTACAGGAGGGACATCATGGCAAGGTAGAAGGGAGGAATGTACAAAGCTGTGCATACAAAGGCAGTGCATAATTCTAGAAGAAACCATCAGAAAACCCAACATGCAAATGGAAAAAAACCTGCTCTGGTCTCTTACCTTGCTGTCAGAAAGATCAGTCCATTTTGTTGTTTCCCAGAATGTCTCTGTCAAAGCTTCTGAGCAGCTTTCATGATCCTCATCTTTGCCTTCTGCATCACTGGAAGCAGCCCCTTCTTGGGTCTGCAGATGAAGAAGTTGGTCAGCCAGCGCACTTCCCTTTCGACAAAGTGCATCCACTAAAGTACTCTTCTGTTTCTCCATTTCACTAGGGAGAAAAAAAAAAGTATAAAAAATATTTAGACTCTTTTGTAGATACCTCTCTTAAGAACAGAAACAGTGCTAACTCAGTTTAAGATAAAAAGTTTACAGTCATTAGTACACCCAAGGCTATTTACTATAAATTAAACTAACCATAAAAGATTACCCAAAGACTACGCATTAATGATACTCAATCATTCTTCTAAGTATGAAATGCCTTAGATGACTTAAGGCAAGGGCAACTCAGGATTCTAAAAGTAAGTCAGCATCTAGAAATACACCTTTAATAGTTCCTGGCATTATAAACAGAGTTGACTCTACCACTAACATAAGCAGATATAATTCAACTGACTTCAAAGGAATTGCATCCATTTAAAGCACCACTGAATTTGGTATTCAATTTCAGCTGTTATATTCAAAACACATGACCTAATGGATCAACTTACCAAGAAATGTCTAGAATTAAGTTTATTATGTCAAGGCTTTGCTTTTATATTAGCAACTCTAGAACTACACACAAACCTGGATTCAGGATAGCTAGAACAGACAGAATAGCTTTACAATTGAAATCTGCTATTTTATAGATAATCCACAATGATGCATCTCCCATTTTAAGGGCCTAATAATCAGATCTGCCATTCTTTCACTAAAACAGCACCATGCTAAACACAGTGAAATCCATCACTTATTCTCCAGACTAAGGTGTCACCTTCAAAATACTATCTTCCTAAGGATATACATACTGATAGTACAGAAGAACAATCTAAAACTAAAGAAAAACAATGGGTCTCAAATACTCTGAAGCATGGTCATCACACTTTTTGCAAACGAAATCTCTTGCAAGCAAGCAGTTACTTCTTTGGCTGATATAAATTTTGTCTTCAAATACACTTGGGAAAGGTTGCAAAATATAAAGAAAAGGCAAGTAGCATTCAAATCAGATACTTCTACTAATACTCCAGTGGTCCCTCTGAGCTTAGACTAAGCTTGACACAACAACTTAAAATCCCATTTTTCTGATACCTTTAAATCCTGAAAGAACCTTTACTTATTTTATTGAATAAATAAAAAGTTGGAAGTTTCAGTGTCCCTGTATTCTGGAGATATAAGGGAATACAACAATTGTGTTGTTATATTTTAAACTGCGTGTGCCACACAACAATAATACAAGTTATCAAAAAAAGTTGCAGTCATTCCATTTCTTACATGCAGAGACAAAGTACATAGACTACAGAAATAGGATGCAGGAAAATTATTTACTGGGTAGGTACTTTTTTATAGTAGTTGCATCAGGTCTGGGATCAGTCTTCATGGCAAAATATACTGCTAATGCTGTTTGATCAATATGAGAGATTACTGTATTTGCAGCTTCAACGATTTCATCAAGCCTTTTCATTCGTTCCTAAAAGAAGAACATAAAGATGTTCAGCACCATAAAATCACTTCACTCTTGATTCTACTAACATTAGGGTGATTGCAAAGCTATGCAGAAATAACATTTGATCATTCAACATGTTATTTTCTCCATTTCATTCAAATTTTATTTAAAACACCCTGCAAAGTCACCAAGATTTCCTGCATAATTAGTCCATTTCACTGAAAACAAACTGTGAAATACGATTGGAGGTTGGAATATGCAAAATGCAGAGTTTACAGAAAAAAATCACCTTTCAGCACAAATCAGCACTTTTATATAATGTAGCAGTTATTAAATTCAGAAATAAGTATAAAACCAGAATGAAATGAAAAATACTCAACAATACACAAAGGTGCCTGTCTTCAAGATGAAAAAAAAAACCTCATGCCAACTCTTCTGTTGACAGTTCCCATTTTTGAGGACAATACTGGAAACTGGATTTAGCTGTGTCACTTTAGGGGGTTACTGTCCTCAGCTGTCTGAGTCATGCTTCTAGGAGAAATTACCAGTCCAGAAGAGAAACAGAAAGGATGTGTGTTTGTCTCAGTAGGCACCATTGAGAAGAAAACTATTGTAGACTACATAAGTATGAAAACTTAAAATGTGCTTAACTGAACAAGGCATAACTTGATGAGCAAACACACTTTGGCGAGGCATACTTTCTTTTATCCTGCTTTGGAATTAAATAAATCACAGTCAAGGGAGATACCTGTCACTCTAATTAGAAATTTCTGCTTTTTAATAATGTGCACCATCACTTCAAGTGCAAACGTGCACAAAGAAAGACTTAGTTGTTTAGGCTACATGGCTGTATTGAGACAAATCCAGTTTAAGAAGTGTTAAATAACCTTTTCAGAATCCAGCTGGTGAAGTCTTGCAACATACAGAGGAAGATGATTAGGAAATGCTTCTTTCAACTCACTATACATATCAGTTGTATCCAGCCTAGAAGAGAGCAGGACATAGCATGAAAGTACAGATTCTGAGTATTTTTATGAACTTTCAGCTTGTGTAGTAATGACAGCAGACATACTTGGTCATCCACTGTATTTTTAGGTCTCTTAAAGCTTCAGCAAATTCTTCTTTTGCATCTTTTTCTTTTTCCTGTTCTTTTTCTTTCTCTTTGCTGCCATTTTTACTCTTTGATGGTGATGGTATCAGATGATAATGAACAGTAAGGACATCCTGGAGGTGGGAAAAGAGAAACACATTCAGAGGGATACAGTACACTTTTTCTGGATATCACATGAAAGATAAATCATAGCCAGCAACTACTCTGAGCTACACATACAGTGAGTAAGGGTTCTGAGAGCAAAGATTAGACAGTACAAATTCAGGAACTGCTTTAAGTTTTTATTCTAAGCAATGCAAGGATGTAAATATTAGAACAGCACACTAGGAATTTAGCTATTTTGACATTTTTACATTCACATAATTTTACATAATATTAGTTAGGGAATAAGGTAGCTGGTTTTTTGTTTATTTGTTGATTATAAAAAGCAAATAACTTGGTTAAAAGGATAAGGGAAAAAAAGAGATCCTGTCCTACAAATCTGGTAACAAACAAATGAATAAAAATGGCTGAATTCTAAAAAATAGTACCACAGTAGGATAAACATGAAACATGTCATAGGACATGTTTATTACTCCCAAGATACAATTTCTTCTATGTGCATACTGAATTAGCTGATGCATCCACTGTCAACTGATTTCCAGTTTGCTGCTGCAGACTTTCCAGTTTCACCTGTATCTCAATTTTAATTAAGTATACACAACAGCAAGATTTTTTTAAAACCTTAAATGGTAGCATAGAAATATGACTATAGTTTGAGTTTATACTACACTAGACAATAACCAGCATGAGAAAACCAGTTACAGCTATTTAAAAAGAAAATCCTAACTCAGACCATGTACTTGAAGTCCATTTCCTGACAATTTACATAAAAATTTGCAAATAAGATAGCAATAGATTCCATCCACTGCTTCTAAAACCTCAAACTGCTGGGTGAGGCCATTTGTTAGTTTTGGTTTTAATGTTGCAATTTTTACACAAGCCTCTCCCTAAACAGGGAGGGCACCCGTCCCATTACTTTACATACAGGATACTTCACAGAGAAGATAACTAAGTTTCAATCCTCCAGATACCAGGTTGCAACATGGTGCAAAATACTGAGTTGCATGCTCAATTACTGTGGGAATTTAATTATTCTCACCAATTATTCCAGAATACATTTGTGGGAATGTTTCCCATAAACCAGGTCAGTTTTGTGTAGTAAAATTAACCCTTGTGTATAAGATGGAGTTAAAGTTACTTAAATAGCAAGTAAAATGATGACAGAAACTGCAATAATGGACTTCAACACTACACTTCTGAAACATTCAAAAATCATGCTGCAGGAAAATTTTATTTGAATTTGCAAACAGACCAGCATCTTGCTGTGGGTTACTGAATACAATACTGGTAAAAGTGACTTCAATATTCCCTTAAAAATTTTCTTCCAGCTACTTAATATGGAATCACAGAATCACAACATGGACATTTGAATATTTTTTTTTTAAAACTAGTTCAGATAACTAATCAGCATTAAAGTGTCGCTTTTACAGGAACTATCCTGCACCCATGCATTTCAAGTATGAAGTGCACAACCAGTCAATACACCTAAATGAGCCTCCAGCAAGACCTAGGCCAGAGCATGACGTAACAGGTCATGGAAGTAAGCACATACAGGAAAATACAGAGGTCAGGAACATGGTGTGGGGCTCACTGAGGTAGTTAGAACAGTAGAAAGCAACAATATAGTTCACTAAAGCAAACCAAACATTTTAAGAAGTCTAAGAAGCAAGTTCAGCACAAAAATCTTAATTTACAATATCTTCTAAAAGACGTCCTCCATTGCGACTAGTATTTTCCTAAGTAAGAAACCTGCCTAAGAAATTTCTTCCAAGAGTTAAGGACTTCCTTTTTCAAAGTCCATTTTTATTTCACTTGCCAGCATATTTTTGGAGTTATATATGTAGATGATCTCTGCATTCTCAAGCCTTGTCTATACGAGAAGGTTCTACAACTCCGGTTTGTTTCAAACCAAACATAACTGCATTAACAAAATCTCACTTATATGGATGAACACTTGCATTTTGAGAAACTAACCCTATGTAGCTAAACCATCAACAGTAAAATATCATCTCCCCATTGTCTCACATATGTACTCTTGGCCTCATGAGGTTCTACAAGCCTCACAAGCTATGACCACTGAAAGGAAAACAATGAGCTTCAGACCCAAGCACACTCCTCTCAAAGAGCTTAAAGAGCAGACTTCCCTACAGACCTCAAAATTATTTCATGGGATAAATGAAGTTTGGTTATTACCACATTTAACTAACTGTTACAGGGCATTAAGAGGGACTGAAGGCTTATTTATTTTATCTGCCAACACCACGATTATTTATAGCACCTGGCAACTCCCTAAGTACCAGAAGATCTCAGAATGGCACTGCCACTGCCATTACAGAAACATTCATCATTAGAGAATAAGGAGAACAAAGGCAGCTCTTCACAATTCAACACTCCAATCTGTTTTCTTATTCAAATTTCTCTCTGACAGGAACAGAATTCCTAGAGCAGTGTACTGGATTTCATTTCATATATACCTATAAAAAGATAGAGAGCTACAGACAGAGAAAGACAGCAAGTAAGCATATTATCCACTGAAAAAATTTAAGGAAGCTTTCAAATTTATCCTCTAAAAAGACATGCAGCATTGAGAAATTGGGAAGCATACAGGATACACACTTGGGTCAGCGTACTCTGTGGAGTCTTGTAAGCCTCACTGGGTTTACTTTTAACTGAATTACAACCTGCACACATAAACAAGCACAGTGCCATCAGAACAGTCACCTCTTAAAAGAGCTTAATTAACAGTTCATTTGGCTTCAAGATTTCAATTTAGATTTCTGTCTGGTGTTTTAACATCTAGTACTTTATATGTAAAACACATATAAAAGTATTGTTATTTGTACTTCAAAGCATTCACAGCAGAGCTAACCACAGGGAAAAAAGCTCCCTCTAGGAACACATCCCAGATCTCATTTTCCATTTAATAAGTATCTTCATATTAATGCCTATTTGCACATACAGATGAATATACATATGGAATTTGAATGTATCTTAAGAGGTGAGCAATTTGTGCAGTGTTGCTTATTTTTATGGCAATTCTCATTTAATGGAAAATTAATTAAGCTTCTTGGAGTCACCAGGCAGGTTTACACACACTTCATCCTATTTTTGAAGGCCTGATGGTTAAACGGGGATAGTATCTTAATGCTCAAAGGAAGTCACCCTTTTACATTTGACTTCACAGTGGTATTTATTAGTCTTCCACTAGTACTTATCAATATTTGCCTAATGCATTTCTTACTTTAAACTGGAAGAAAGGATAGTAGAATAGGGAAAAAGGTGTAGAAACTTTCCACCCCTTGGCTAATTGTTAGATTCTGCTGTTCAAAAGCTGCATTATGTAAACCAACAAAAAATCATTCTTACAGACCTGAAAAAATCAATGATATGTTTTTCATTGTAACTATGTTCTGGACAAAGCTTGGAGACAAGGAGAAAAAGTAATCAGATTGTAACTGTGTTACAAATGAAAACAAAGACACCTGTTTATTATGAGGCAAGAACTCCTTGACATTTTTGTACAGTATAAAATAATTAACGACCTTTGGAAACCTAGGCTGCTATTTCCTGGCATAACGACAACCTGCTTTTATGCAAAACAGAGATGCATTAAGGTGGATTGAAACCTGCTGAACATCGGGGTCCAGAGGGTAGTCAGGGACACACAGTTGGAGGTCTGTAACTTATTGTGTGCCCCAGGGGTCAATTCTGGATTGAACCCTGCCTGATGTCATCATTAGTTACCTGGATGATGGAGGCAGAAGGCACCCTCAGCACATTTGCTAGTGACACCAAAATGGGAGGAGTGGCTCAGATGCCAGGGAGTCTGCTGCCATCCAGAGGGACCTCAAAAGGCAGCAGAAATGGGCTCAACAGGAGCCTCATGAAGTTCAACAAATAGAAGTGCAAGAACTGGAAAAGAATAAATCCAGGCACACTACATGCTGGGGGCCATCCAGTAGGAAAGCTGACATCCTGGTGGACACCAGGTTGAATATGAATCAGCAGTGTGGCCTTGTGGCAAAGAGAGCTACTGATCTTACAGGAGTGCCCCTTTATCTTTGAAAAATATGAAAAATCTACACATACTTTTTTGACTGACTGCATCACTGAAGAAATGTATAAACAAGTTTTCTGTGCTGGAAAACATCTTAACTGCATGTAAACTTATGATAGAGCAGGGTATAAATTTGGTATAAATACCAAAATTTTTAAACTAGGAAGGTCTCTGAGTTGCATTCTCAGCAAAATGCATTAATTATTGGAGCTCTTACAGAACAACGCCCTGAAATACACTGTGTTTTATTTCACAGAATTTGCTGAGTTGGAAGGGAGTGAAGGATCATCAAGTCCAGCTTCTGGCTCTGCACAGCACTACCCCCAAGAGTCCCACCATGTGCCCAAGAGTATTGTCCAAACATTTCTTGAACTTTGTCAGGCTGATGCTGTGACTTCTCTGGGGAGCCTGTTCCAATTCCCAACCACCCTGTGGGTAAATAATCATCTTCTAATAGCCAACCTAAACCTCCCTTGACACAACTTCAGGCCACTTCAGGTACTGTCACTGGTCACCACAGAGAAGACACCAGTGCCTGTGGCTCCACTTCCCATCCTGAGGAAGTTGCAGACTGCAATGAGGTCTCCTCTCAGTCTCCTCCAGGCTGAATAGTCCAAGTGACCTCAGCTGCTCCTCACACAGCCTCCCCTCAAGGACCTTCACAATCTTCGTTACCCTCCTCTGGACACTCTCTAATAGTTTAATATCTTTCTGACATTGTGGCACCCAAAACTGCACACAATAATCAAGGTGAGACCACCCCAGTGCAGAACAGAGCAGGACAATCCCACTGGTGCTGCTGTGCCTGATGCCCCCCAGGACACTCTTGGCCCTCCTGGCTGCCAGGGCACTGCTGGCTCACATTCAACTTGCCATCAACTAGGATGCCCAGGCCCCTTTCCATGGCACTGCTTTCCAGCCTCCCATTCCCCACTCTGTACGTACATCCAGGATTGCCCCAGCCCAGGTGCAGAATCCAGCACTTTCCCTTACTGAATTTCATATGGGTTGTGATTGCCCAGCCCCCTATTTTGTCAAGGATTCTCTGCAAGCCCTCCCTGCCTTCAAGGGAGTCATCAGCTCCTCCCAATTTAGTATTGTCTGCGGACTTGCTCAGTATCCCTTCCAGTCCTGTGTCCAAGTCATTACGAAGATTCTGAAGAGCACAGGGCTGAAGATGGAGCCCTGAAGAAATTCACCAGTTCATCTGCTGCTAATACACCAATGAGTAGTAGATGGAAGTAACATGAAGGAAAGCTTTTATTTTGGCTTGGGTGGTTTTAGTGCTCAGATCTGAAAACAAATCTCTGTTCTAGAAGCAAAGAGGGGAAAAAAAAACCCAACCAAAAAACCACAATCTCTGGAATCTGTTTAATAGGTTTTGTAATTCAAATTATATTATTATTACAGTTTAATTCCCTTGTTAGAGATTCACTCAGTGAAGATCTTATGCCCTATTTACCAGGAAGTCATGAATTCACATGGGATTTTAAATTATCTTTCTGAAAACAATCTGCATGATTTTCAGGTATGAAAATAAAACTCGGCAACGTGCATTAAAATCCTTCTTGGAAAGCCTAATCTGATTCCTTCATGGTTATTACACCAAGATGAGAGTAAGTTAGCATATTTAGATTCCCGCTTACTATTCATAAAATAACGCAGTATGACTATAAACTATGTTATTCATGGTTCTCAACAAGAATCCTGGCTAATCTGCATGTCACTCCAGAACACAGTACCTTGAAATCAACACAAAGTAAAACCTTTACAACCTAAGAACAAGAAAAAACCCAGTAACCTTATGTAGGTAGTTTAGTGAAATATATTTTGCATTTTTTTAAAGAAACTGTTTTACACTGACTCCTGGTAAAATATTGTATTACCTGATGTGAAAATACAAGAAAGCACAATATTAAGCACTGTTATACTAGAAGTCTTTTCTAACTATCTGATACATGCTCCAAAATTCCTTCTGTGAATACTACTATCTGCTACATGACTGTATAAACTCTAGCTTCCTTGTATGTTTTTTATGACTGTAAAGAAGACAACTCTCAATTTACTAGACTGGGAATACAGTCAGATAATCAATTATTCAATTCAAAGTGTTAGGCTCATATTTGATTTTCAATCTGCAGACAGAATAGGCAGAAACACTTGCCACAAAAAAATCTTGACCACAAAAGCTGAACATTCCTGTGCATTTAAGAACAAGAAAAATTGCAGACCACTAACAATACATGCATTTTTACAGCACTTATTGCAGAAGTATACAGATGCTCACGTGCCTCTCAGCTATGTGTTACAGTAGTGTTTTGTCATTCTACCAGTAAACATACTTAAGATGCTCAAGTAAATAACTCAGGTCTAAGCAAGTAGATAAGGAGACAAATTAAAAACCAAGACTGGTAGACAGATTCTTTAAGTCATATGCAAAAAGATTTCAGTATATCTTTTTCAAAAACTAACATTCAGTACCTTTTTAAATTTTCCTTGTCGCTTTGCTGCAGACTGCCCCTGGGAGTTAGAATAACATACTGTAAGAAAACATGCACACACCACACAGGATGGAGACACCTTCTCTGTACAATTATAGTACCTACAAGATTTCCAACTTTTAGAGAGTCACATGTATGATCAAACATGCTCTTAAAGCATGCTCTTTCAGGTTTTGAAAATTAATAAACCAATGCATCACTATATATAATCCATTACTCCTGCAATATAAGCAAGTGTTGTTAACCACTTAGCTTCAATTAATAAATTACAGAAATTCAGCCTCAGAATTTCATATTTTTGACTGTTTAGTGGCATTGTTCGCTTTCATAATAAATACAGAGAAATTAGATATATTTTCCCTTACCTTGCATCCACCCACTGACTTAGAGACAACTTTGCTGCCTAGTCCCCCTTTTATGTCTCCTGGTACGTATTGAGGTTCACTAAAGGCAGCAGAAATTATCAGATGCTATTTGATGCCATCCTTTTTCCATTGAAATATGACCATAACAATAATGCCTTCAGGTATGATGTGAGGAACACTTCAGCTAGAATTTCTTCCTGTGTAAGGTCTTAAATATTCTCCATCATATGAAATTTGACAGGCTGTATCTACCTATCTCCTGCTTCCTATCCCAGAAACCACTGTATATAGCCATTTAGTTTTAAAATAAAATATTCAAGATTGTAACCAACAGTTCAAGGAAGTGCACAATTCTAGCTAGGGAAACTAAATTATCATGGATTTCATAAAAGTACACTTGCGACCTCGCAAGTATCACAAAGAAATATTAAACTAGCTCTTTTACAACTCCTAGTTACTGGGTTTTTCCTCACTGATAAATTCTGCTGATACATTCTCAACTGCAGTTACATGCAATCTGCCCCAAAAGTACAACCATGCAGAATAAATTAACTAAACTTTTATGCTTACCAATATCTAAAGGTACATGACAACCTACTCTCAGAAACTTATTTTCTATCAAGATATACTCTAGTTTTATACATGGTGTTCAGCTACATCTAGTGGTATATGCACATAGATCAACTACCTCCTCTGAGTACTAACAATCATCAGGATTGACTAAAATTTAGTCTCAGGCTTACCATCTGTTTAAAAACACCTAAGGGAACCTTCTAACACTGTAGCACCAGATACACAGAAAAGTGACAGTTACTATAATCACTGTTGCATTATAGAGTCATACAAGTTAAAAACCGTCTTTCACAGGATGCTGTGTTATGAGCAAAAAAAAGATCATTAATCTTTTTTTTCTAGCTTCAAACACAGAGATCTTATACCATTCTGCTGAAGCATACAATGATACTAGTGGTTGACAACAACAGTGTGTAGCAGGTAAGAAAATTTGTTTATGCATTTGAGTCAGCAAAATTCCTACTATTTGGTAACAGTAACATATATGTGTTTAGAAAGCACGTGTTTCTGCTGAATATTGCATGCATGCAACAAAGAGTATTACAGAACCAACATGCACATAACACTATATGCATGTATTTTTCATTCAAAAATTACATTAAGCTAGGGAGTTACATAAGGTCAATTTTAAAGCCTCCAGACCAGCAAGAAAGCAGTTGCTTCTAGAAATATTTCAGAGCAAAAAATATTTCACAGAAAAAGACTTAAAACTCAGTTTAGAAAATGCAATTAAATTTGAAATTAGAAGACGAAAACAATACTAGAACTACTTAGAAGTTATGCTGACTTTATAATGAAACAACTGCTTCTAAAATGTATTATGTTACCAAACCTAATGCTCTTTAAAGTATTAACCCCATACAGTACAGCACTTCCTGGCATGCAATTTGCTTGCTAGAAAAAACAGAAAAAAACCCCATCATCCATTCCATATACTCACAGCTTTCTTTCCAAGTTCTGTTTTAGACAGAGTAAGACTTCCTGCAAGGTAACATCCTGGTCCTGCTCCTTTAGGTATTCTGTTCAAAGAAAGTAAATTCAGTGTTAAAACCAGGTTCACTAAAGTTCAATGAAAACTACAATAAAGATGCCAAACAGGGAAAGAACAACACAAGGAATAACCAAGCTGGACAGGCAGACACTATTAAAGTATCATTTTAGTGAGGTGCAGAGGGAGCTGCCTAGATGCAGATGAGAAAAACAACACTTTGTAACTTACTTGTCATCAGGCAGGGATGTAACAAAGAATGGCTGACTGTGTTTTGGTGGTAATGTCAAACTGTTGGATTTCTTCTTCCCTAAGAGAGCAAGGCTATGGTTTTCATAAATGTCTAAGCTCAAGGTACTAGACAGCCTATGAGAAACAATAAATGGCAGGTCTTTGATGCGATCCAGCTCACTGTTCTGCTCATGACGAATTTGTAACCGAATAGTATAATCTCCTTTTTCCAGTTTCACGGAATACTGAAAGAAAGAAGTTCTCATAAATGTCAAGATGCAACACTTCACCATTCATAAAAAAACACCTCCAAACCCCAGAAATAAGACTGTCATGTTTTGAAAGCATTCTTTAATTTTTATCAACCTGACATGGCAACACATGGCTGTTTTGAGCAGCAGTATGCTAAGTCTCCTTTCTGATACCGCTGCAGTAAAACAGAAAGCAGCCCCAAGTAGAAAGTAACAACTCAGAACTACCCTGCTTCTAAAAACTCCCTCTCCTGGGCTAAGGAGTCATGTTTCCTATTGGTATTTCTTCCTGGATTAAATAATTTATAATTGTTTTAGAATCATCCTATGATGCACAACACCAGAGATTTACAGCATGATAGTCCACCAGGTGTAAGTAACAAAGACCTGGGGCAATGTTTAGATTTTACAGTATCTTAAAAATGCGAGTTGAGGAATAGAAGCTTACACAATGTGATTTCTGAAAGTAATTTATAAACTGTAAAGCACGTCTCTTGAAACTATCTTTTGTACACTTCCAGAATAATCAATCAAAATTACCATTACGTTGATGTTCAACTGTGATTTTATATTGCTAAAATGTAGTTTTAAACAAAAAAATTATAAATGTTTCTTTTATATTTTTCCTTTGTAAAATATTTTATTTCTCCCCACTTCCCCCATGATCCAGACACACGGCCTGTTAAGGCAGAAAGAGATTCCCGCAGAGGGTAGAGTATCTACAAGTGTTGTGGAAAATAATTTTGTTTGAAAGATGGCAACAGGAAACAAAACAGAAGCATTAAAAAGGCTGTTTGAAGATATCAACAGCACTGAGGACAGCGTTCATGATCACAGAAGCCCCTGCTCTATCAGCACACAAGTCAGACCTTTCCACCTTGCATAGAAAAATTTAAGGTATTGTCTTTGTAATAAAACAAAACAGAGCAACACGATTTTGAACTCATTTCTTGAAAAGCACCAGGCAAAATCACAAGAAATCAGAGGAAAAGCTGTAAACTTCTTTCTCCTTCCTCAGGAGAGAAAAAAAAAGAAAAATCATGTTCTATTTTATGGACACATATCTTTCATTGATACCAATAAATCACCACTGAACCTTGTATGACTTCAGTATTAAAATTATAAATCAGAAAATGTAACAGGAGGCTAACAGGAGGCCTGGGAGGTAAAAAAAAAACAAACATTTTCACAGTCTTCAGAAAAAAGAAGGTAAAATAAATACATTACTCTGTACCTGGTGTGGATAGGCATCTCCTGAACCCATTTGTCTTTTGTTCTGGTCAAAAATAATCCAGAGCTGACTATCAAATTCAGATTCATACAACAATTCACAAAGAAGTGGACAGCTTGGAGTCACTTCTCCACTCTTAGGCTATTAAAAGAAAGGTAAAAGCATTTAATCTACTACAGAATAAAACAAGTACAATCCTTACATACATATTCAAAAAGATAACTGAGCTGTAGCATGTTTCAAACAACAGTAGCTTTTAAAGTGGACCAAGTCAGAATTTTGACTGTAGGGAGTCCAGAGTGTGACTCTAGACCTCCTTTCTGAGAGAAAGCTAGGTAAAATTAAGACCGGGTTAAAGAAAACATGATGTGCTTATCAATAACTTAAAAAACCCCCTCAACTAACATAACCCTTACCTGATGGAAGTTATAGGTCAAAATCATCTCATACAGTTGACGATTATTTGGTAAAATATCTCTGGATCCCAAAGGTTTTATTTTTGCACTCACTGGTCTGCAGTTAAACAAGAAAAGGTTCTCTTGAGAAACATGTATCCTCTATCAAAATTTGTCTTGCTTAAGTAGAATCATGTTCTGAGATACAATTGAACTCAGCACATGCCATAACATCTCATATATTGTAACTATCCAAGCAGCATAAATTCCTCAGTTAAAATTAATGTAAGTCCAAAAACAAGGTTTAGTGACACTACAGACACTGCCAAAAAAAAAAAGAAAACAATGTAGTAGGCATGTCTAAATGCTCAAAATTAAAAGTCATTAAGAATCAGGTTACATTTCTAGTATCCATGCTGAAATCAACACTTGTCTTCATAACTGATTAACAGCACTGCACTTAGAAGACAGAACAATTGATAATTCCTTGTTATAGAAAGCTGTATCTTCAGAAAACGTAAGAAGCCGTACAGTAATCTGAGTAGTAACAGAGAAGAATGTACACTACAGAGTGTGTACGTTAAGTCAGACACACTTGGGAAAAGCAGTCAAAGTTCAGGGTAGCCAAACATTGTAGCCCTTAAACATCCAAAAATGTAAACAAAATAATGACATAGGAAAAATCAGTTTCAGTGATAAAGAATAGCAGAATCAGGGTGGTCTGGCGTCACTTAATTTTACCTTTCATTTGTTAAATCAGATAACCTCTAACTACATGATCAGAATTTGTCTCCAAGGTTCTGCCAGCTCTTTCATTGTCAAGGGCGCAGACTAGTCACCCATTAAGATATAACCACAGGTCTGTTTAACCCAGGTTTCCTAGTCTGGTGGACACTGGATAGACTGCTGACAGAAACCTTAAGAACGGAGTAATACCACATATGACATGATGTCTTGCTAACATTGACCCTGCCTCCAAGCCTTTGAAACAAGAGACAAAATGACAAGCCATTCAGTAATTCTCTCTCTATGTCATGACTCATTAGTTCATTCAAGAGACACTATTCCTGCTCTAATTTAAATACATAAATATTTCTCCATAGTTTACTTAATTGCAGTTCATTTACTGTCAGATGAGGGAGTAAAGAGCATGTCCATTTTTCCAACCAAGAATGAGGCAAATATTAAGGGACTGTTTTATTACCTCATTTACAGCACATCAAATGGATTATTTCTGAATCTAACATTAGGTGATATGTTCATTAAACTCTTGGAAATTCCAATTAGTCAATTCCAGTTACAAGAACCCATAAGCCCCAGACAGAGCCCAAAGTCTCCACTCACAGGCCCAAATAATGGAAAACTTTGGATTATTAACCACCATGAAATGGTCCCACATCTCAAAAGTACCATTTGAACCACTTTATCTTTATCTGGCATTTCTGTATCTTTCTGAAGTGACCAGCTTTAATCACTGCTGCACTGTCTAGAAATTTTCCAGCAAAGTTCTTTCCCTAAAACTGCATGTGTTAAACTAACAAGGTAAACACAACTTTTCCCCAGAAAAATCTGCACCAGATTCTACAAAAACACTTTAAATCAAGCAAGAGAGAGAGGATGGTTTTCCCAGGTCAAAATTTGGCAGGATCCTAAGCAGCTGCTCAGGGGAAAAAAACCAAAACAGCCAAAGCAAAACAACAAAACAAAAAAAACCAAAACAACAAACAGTAGCACATAACTCCAATACCTCTACAATTGTTTTCTTTAGATTTTAAAGTACCTTTACCTTTAAATGTCTGGAAGCAGTGGAATATTTTTGAAAATTTTTCTTCTTTCAAATTAGCTTAAGGAAAGTAATTTGTCTTGAAAAAGTCACCATAAAGAAAAGAATGCTGACAAATTAACTGATGCTGACAAATCAATTAATGCTTCCAAAGCTACTTTGAATTTGACAAGAATATTTTTGTAATCCTGAATTTCACTGCTAATGTGTTACTGTTTTAACTCCACATATAAGTTTTCCCAGTCTCCCAGAACAGTTCCCCAGAAACTCTACCTGAGTGTTTGAACCCAGCTTTTCAGACTTATGCATGGAGCAATATCTTCATATTTCAACAGGGACTGAACATCAAACCGTACAATGCCTTCTGAAGCGTGCTAGAAGAAGAGTATAGAACAATTATGCTTCTGTGCACTTACAACAGCAGATGGGAGCCACCTATTACAACGCTCAAAAATACAACAAAAGCTGCAATTATTTATACTTAAGCAAGTAATACTGTGTAATTTTGAAATCATCACAAGTGAATCTCTATTTTACAACAGCAGGTAATACTGGGACTTGCAAAACGTATATAAATAAAACTTAAGCTCCATTGCTCACCTGCTCCCTTCCAAATTTAAATACTTTGTACAGAACTGGTAAGTCATACTATAGGCAGGACTGCATTTTTTTGTGCATTCAGGATGATTTAGTTTGAATATATAATTCACTATATACTATATTGAACTATATAATATATAATTCACTATATACTATATTGAACTATAATTCAATATATAGAGTATAGAATATTAAAACAAGTATTTTATGGTGCTTCCTAGGACTGTTATTACAGAATAGATTAATTCTGCAAAAAAGAAACACTACTGCATGCATAGACTTGGTGATGGGCAAAACGATTCAAAAAGTTTATTTCTAGCAGTATTCCATGACAAAGATACTAGTATATGAGCATTATTGAAATTTATTTTATGGAAGTTACTGGTGCTCAAAAAAAGGAAGATCAAGACTATTTGTATTCTCTTATTTTTCAGTGTCCATTATTAATTTGGTATAATCCTACTGGGCTGGGGGCGGCTTCTGTGCACACCATCACCAACAGCTCTTTCTTTTGATGTTCTACCAGTTCAATAGCTGGTACCTCAACACACTACCCACTCTCTCTTCCTTAGTTTATTCAGCTGTTAGAGCCTGAATAAATCCAAATTCACCCACAGGAGAGCTACGACTTGCTCTGGCCTTTAGATGAGCCAAGACTGCTGCTGCTTCATGTAAGTAACAGCTCTCAAAGAGTTCTCTCCTAAGGGAAGCAGTGTAAGGACAAGCCAGGTTGCATAGGACACCAAAGAACATAGGACCAAGACAAAGTACTGTAGATATCACAGTAACATTTTAAGCATTTTCAATCCTTTACTATCACAGACTATTAATGAATCATGACACTGCCCCACCCACTGTACTTTCAACTGCCCTAAATGATGACTCTCAAGCCAATTACCACATCTCAACAGAACACTGAACAGAAAATAAATTTTAAGGACATTTTACTCTGAATATGGTATTCAGAGTGCTGTGGTCCCAGCAAAGTTTATTTACATAAAGCATTTGGTACTGTAAGCATATTTATATTTTCAGCCTTTTAGTATGTTTTATGTACAGGTGTTGAGTTTATCTTCTTTGTTTGGGTTTTTTTTTTTTTTCCTTTTTTTCACTAGTGGTTTCTAATGAAAAGGCATAGAAAAAAATCATAAATAATGGTAACTGGCATTTGTCTGGGACTGAACTCCAACTTAATTTTTAAAAGAGAACATGGAAGCCTCATGTACAAAAATATTTCTACTGTTTCTAAATTCAGGCAAGAAAGAAGAAAAGCTGGCTTTTTTCTGAGAAACCATAGGATTTCACAGTAATTAAATATAAGCACTCTGGAAAACTTACCATATTTAGCTGAGGAGCACCACAAAGGACACCATGGAAAGAAATTGTGTAATTAATGCTAACATCACTAAGGCTTGCCCACCATCGAGCAACGCAAAATTCAATGGTTTTTCCAGCCTGGGTAACAAAAGCACAAAGTTAGAGTCCAGCTCCCATCTTCCTCTTCTATTGACCCCAGCCTCCCCAAACCCAACGAAGAAAACAAAAACCAACCAGACTACAACTCAAAAAAGACCTCTTAAGTCCAGTTTACTCCAACTGTACAGATTGGTACAGTTCCAAGTAAGACTTGGTTCAGAAAACGTAAGACAATTCCAACAAAACAGCGTGACTGAAAATGCTTCAAAACAAGGAGTGGCGGGATATACTCTACACAGAAAGGTGCTGCTTTTAAATGTTCTGTCTTCAATTCTTATCCCGCAAACCAGGCAGACAGGTTAGTTCATAGATCACTTTGATGTGTGTGCGTTAAAAAAAACATGTATTAGAAAAAGAGATCTCATTTTCTCCCTAAGTAACATGACAAAACTTGAGAGGTTTGGGATAGTTTTGTTTTTGCCTGGTTGGTGGGGTTTTCTGTGTTTTTTCCTGTTTCAGTTTTTAAATAACATGACAAAATAATGTGTCAGTGGGACCAACATAGCTTATGGTCCCCCACCTGGTATTTCCACAGAGGGTAAGGGACTGTATTGCACAGAAATAATAACTACTCTTTGGCATTAGAGGTATACAACTAAACTGAACAAAGCAGGGGACAAACTTGAAGGAGGCTCTATTATCTACACCCCTGAACTGCTAGCTCATTCCTTGTTTTGGACCCCTGAGCTAGCATTATCCAAGCTAAGACTCCTGTACCAAGGATGCATGAATGTGAGCCAGTCAGTTACCCCGGCTTCAAGATGAAGATGTCCCAGACTACCGCATTAACCACAAAAGGCAAAATATGCTGAACTATCTAACAAGGCATAACTCCTATTTGAAAGGGAAACAAACTGCTCTGCATAAAGTACAAACAAACTGCAGAGATTAACATGTATTATATTACTAAATAGCTCAGAAATATTAGCAAGCTATTAGAAATCTTTCCAAAACTGAAAATCAGATGCATTGCCTACTGTAAAAAACAACGTCTTGGGTGTGGGGCTTTTCTTAGGAAAAAAAAAATCCCAAATAAGTTATGTTACACTGCATTAATACATTATTTTATTTACCCCACCCTAAGGTAACTTACTAAGACAGGAAATGCTTCAATCACAGAGCCTTTTTCTGGTAAGGATGAAAATTTGTAGAACTCATGACTTCTGTATGCTTTTTGCTTCACAAGCTGAACAGCATGAAGCACAAACTTGGCAGTCACATCAGCTGAACATGAACACACTGTCACTTCTAGATTAAAGAAAAAGAAATTTAGTCTGAAGACACATGAATTTAAGAAGAAAAGCAGAGAAACACTACTTTCACAAGCAATTTGCAATTTAAGAAGTTATGCAGTACCCCAAGTGGCTCCACATGTGAAAAAGGCTTCTACATCAATTAATTTCAAAAACTCTTTCAGGTTTAAAAAAAAAAACAGCTAAATTCAGAGGATGGTTAAAGAGAAACATGTCTCAATTAAATGGTGAAAATTAATCAGATAGTACAGATGTATCATCTGCATAGGACGGACGGCTGAATTGCAAAGTAAGAGTCCTATCACTAACTTCAGACTAAATGAAAGATTTTTCAAAGGACTAATGTTTAGTAATTTCACAAAGAAAGACAAGGAAAAAAAAACCCCTTTCTTTCCCTTTTTGCAAAATTGTGAAAATCAAATTTTCTTCAGTTATGACTTCTTTCAACACTACATCCATACACCTTAAAAACTATGTAAGCCTCAGACAGTGATACTTTTCCATAAACATGGGGCATTCCTCCAGGTATACCCAACAACTTTAAATTGTTATTGGCTGGTTTCTTTTAAGACTTAGAATCAAGATCCTACTATGCCAAAAACCATGAAATAACTCAAAATCACTCATATAAGAGCTTAAAAATCAAATAAATATTTACATATTCATGGGCCAAAACCTTCAGTATTTATACAGGCAGAACCCAAAATTATTTAAAACCAACTTTGTCAAGTCTGACAGATGCAGTTTTTTATTTAGTTAATGTGGTCATTTTCCTTACCAGCCCACGTAGCTCCCTGGGGAACATCAATGAAGTGCCTTCGGATCTGACCAGGTTTAAAATGAACATCTGTGTATGTCAGGTCATAGCTTGATGATTCATCGACTCTGTATGTCAAAAGGAAAACACAAACACTAGTCAAACTGTGAAGCCAATTTCTGAAGCATTTTAAAATGCAAAAATACTCTAAAAATGTGTACAATGAGTACATTTATTCTTCAACACCAATTACACTATTCCTACTAATACATAATCTGACAGCGCAAAGTATCCAAAAGATTTAAAATGTCAGCTCCACCACACTATGTAAACACCTTCCCCAAAATTAGAGTGCCTAAACAGAAGTATCAAAAAATCCTCATTTTCAGTGGATCTGCTTTTCCTGGCGAAGTGAATTGCCACTGAAATGAGCTAAGGTATGGAATAATAAATAAATGAGTTAGAGAACAGTTACTTTGTCTTTCCCCCTCAGGGATGATGTCCACCAAACAGGTCTAGTAAAATACTCTCCCTCCTTCCTTATCACCATCGCTTAAGTCTTGTGTTTAAGCCAATGATGGGTGCAATGCCAACTCTAAACTCACTGTATTGAAGTAATGATCAAAGCTTATCCCAATGTATGCAACGGCCAAATAATGCCCTCTGGCTTTTTGTACTCTAGTTCCCCCAGCAGAAATGAAAAAAAAAAACTCCAGCTGACCTACACATATGAACAGTACATTGATTGATACTTCGGTCAACAAGCCAGAAGGCATCTGTATCCTGACAGACCAGAAAGCTGCTGTGGCTAAGCCCACCAGAACACACTGCTGTCATGACTAAACTATAAAAAAAAGTCACAGCTGCATAAGCCTGCTGTAAGAATCTTTTCAGGTTTTTGTAGAAAGTTCAGGAACTCTCAAGAGTTCTGGATTTACTCACCTTGTCGGTATAACAACAGTGATTGGAACTCTGAACAAAGGGCCTGCATTAGGCGTTGCTGTATCATATCCACACACCTAACAAAATAAAATACAACAACTCAAAATCTTTTTTCAAAATCCAACTACAGAAGACAACATTCAACTTAAACCAGTGGCAGAGTATTTTGAATCTTTGTAGTTGTCACCGAGGAGAAAAGGTCATTTGAGCACTGTCACCCTAGAAACAGTAAAACACCAACAATCACTGAGGAAAAAAAGAATATTTTTCCCATTTTGACTCATCTCACCAGAGGAAAAAAACTTAATCAATGGTCATTTATTTGGCTTATGTTTTCTATATGCTCTTATTTTTCAAACATAGATACTCAAAGTCCTACAGGCATGTGCTATACAACATTGTATAGCCCAAGTATTGCTGCTCCCTGGCTTCAGTCTGTATAGACTGAAATACACTGTGGCACTACTTTCTACTCTGTAAACCTCAAAGATTTTATTTCTTTATATATTATTTCTATGAAAAGTTGATAGAGCCCCTGTAAGGACACATACAGGCACAAAATCTTGCTCAGAACACCAGTACTTCCATACCTCTGTATAATGTACTCCTCCACTCAGGCCACGTGGATCCACACGGATATTTATGTGTCGACACTGGTTCATGAGCTCTAAATGACTAGGACACTGGACCCATGGTGCATTTGAAGTTAAAGCTAAATGAAGCTGGAGAGATATTCTTTCAGTGTTTTCTGTCAGGAAACAAATTATGAAAACAATTCAATAACACAAACATGTGCACATAGTCACCATAACAGTATCTGCCATTAAAATATACATATTGGTAAAATATAGGAATCAACCTTAGGGCCCCTGTATCTCAGATTCTGCACAAAGGGAGTGTTCTATATTACTTCTTTTGACTTGACAACACAAGAATAGCAGCAGTAGGCAGTTAAATAAAGGTGGCATCCAGCTTTGAAATTCCTCTCCTCTGAAATAGTAAAAGCTGACAAAGTCAAAGGTAGGGCTGGTAAGCAAGACTTCAGTTACCCACAGCATAGTAGGTATACCCACAACATAGTCTGGGAGCAGGTATAAACTTCCTTCTATAGAAAAAGTGCTGTCTAATGCAGAGAAATACAATAAAAAGCAATCACATTTATTCTGGATGCTATGCTAATTACCAAACTACATTATAAAGCATACTAAGCAAGAGGTGAAGTCTATTAAAACGACTATGATAATCTAGTCAGATTTTGCAAACAATCTGGCAGATTCTGTAAATTAGCTTTTTTAATACTTAGCCAAAAATGCTATGTATTAAAGCACAGCTTCCAGAAAAGCATCCAGAGCAGCCAAAATGTTTTAGTTCTTAGCAGCTTCCTCCTGCTCAGAAGATTAATGACATTTCAAGAATTTTTTTCCTGTTTCTTAATCATAATTAAGCTTATCCTAATTTTCAGACATTTCATCATATCTAGATTAAGCAGAGAAAAGGACACTCTATTATAAGTACAGCAGAAGCAATAAAAGCTTGTAGAGAGCTTCAAGAGACAAACAGAGCCATCAGCCTCCCTAAATTCTCACTTACAGTTTCTCAAACTCAGTCTTGTTGAAGACACCAGACAAAGCACAGAAATGACTAGGGAAAACAGGTACCAGGGAAAGCTAGGGAAACAACATCTATGTGCCAGTGCTAGTCATTCATTGCAAATGCCTGTTTTTAGATTGCTTATTTCCTGCAGAAGTCGAGTGAACAATTATTTTGTGTCACATGTTAAATTTAAAATGCACTGCCTGCAATGCAAGCTGTCAAGCAAGTAAGTTATTTGGATTCAGCAACCTGCCCCAATTCATACCCTTTCTGCCCCTAAATAAACTCAGGCCTTTATCACATGCCAACCTTCTTGATGACAACTGATTTTAGGAAAGGAATAAACTCAGTAACAAGCTCTCACATGGCTCCCTTTCCAAATACAACATAATTCAGTCTCTCAGTGACTTCCAATTTTTATTAAATAAAGCAAGGCAAAAGGGTTTGCAGAAAAAAAAGGTTAAATCTCATTTTCATCTGCACAAGTTATTTTTACCCTTTTAGTAATAAAATCCATATAAATTCCTGTATTGCTCTTAGATATCTTCATTGATTATGAGATAGTGAAAGGAAGTCTAATTCATTAAACAAGATTTTTCTCAGGTTGTAAAAACTTAGAAGAAGTCCAAATCTAGAATTTATAGTCTTTAAATAACTGAGAAACCAATTTCTGGGTAAGTGCTTTCATCTTTAGAACACTCAACAACCTTTGCCAAAAGTTATCTACAACACAAACCCTGAAGTTTCATAATTTCATGAAACGTCAGGGACCTATGCTTATTCTCTGTTTCTCCAAAGCCCCTCACAACTTGACTTTAAATTTCTACAGAACAAAGAGATCTCTTTTTTTCAGTGAGAGAAAGCATTGAAGCAACAGTCTCCCCAAACAACATGAAAGCCCTGCATGCAAGTCTGAGGTTGAAAATGGAAAAGTTCTTTAATTTGCACATCTTCCTTGACCATCAAACTTACGGTTACACTGACTCCTTTCACAGTACAGATTCCTATCACTCATCATTATCACAGCTTTTTGTTTCAAGTTGACATTTGTATTTCTCTGCACCTCCACCTACTAAAGCTCTTTCCTACCTGTATTCTCAGGAAAGACAGGTTCTATGCCAACCCCATGATCAGATGGTGCCACTGTCTGGGCTGGATCTCTGAGGTAGATTCCACGGTTGCTGCCGACAGTAACTGTGAAGCCGATGTTACTTGTGAATGATGAATTCTGAATGAGGTAGTCATAGGCTTTATCAACCTGTTAAAAGAGCAAGTTCTAAATTAACAAATTTCAACTTAATAGCAATTTATGCATATTCTCTTCAATACGAAATGTTTATCAAGAGCAGCAACAAACAGTGAAGTACCTCATGTGCTACCTGAGCAAAAGGCAATTGCATGATACTCAGTACAGAAAATGAAGCAATTTTCAGTATGCAATGGCCACAGAGAGACAGAAAACTAAGAACAAACAAGGTCAAGTCTCTTCTGCTGTAAATCCATAAAAAGATTCCTATTCAGACATGACTTTGAAGAAGAGGACTTCAAGGCCCAAACCTACTCTTCTAATTTAGGTGACTTTTTCATAAATGGAGCAACACTAGTTAAAACATTTAAAATTTTTATACAATAAGAAGTCGAGCAATTAAAAAAAGTCATGCAATGGAATACCCACACAAGTCTTATATATTGATATGAAGTAAAAGAATGAGGTCATGAAATCCAGGTCTGGGTTTAAGTACATGAACTGTCACAATAAACTCACTTAACAAATTCATCTCCTTGTTTTAAAAAGACACCTTTCCACCTCACTTGCTATTTTACTGACTACAAAAATCTTAAATTCTCTTCTACTTGACAGCAAGGTACCTTCACCGGTGAAGATTAGGGCACTCTCCTTTGAGACAAGTGGACATACAACACCTTGTCTCCAAGATCAATTCTCATCACATTTTAACACATGATTTAATCACAGGCTACTAAAACACCAAGTATGATTGGTGCATTTTATTTTTTAATTGACATAGCTAGCACCACTACTGCCTTCTGTATCAAACTCAGCATTACAGACGTGCTTAACAAGTACTACCTACTAGGTTCTAGCATCTCCAGAACTTGAATTTTGGGCTAAGCATTTAACATCTGGCATTCTGAAGCACAATAGAGAAATCTTTGTACTCCTATTAGACTAGGACAGGAATGACTGTAGGCAAAAGCTCTGTAAGAACATAAGCTTATGCATAGGGAGACACTCAATCAGTATGCCTTTACCATACAGAGGATCACATCACAGATTTCCAAACCACTCTGAATCCCATAGGAAACAATGGGCACTCAGACTGTTTAGTGCAGGCCTGCAGCAAAGTCCCTGTACAACTGCATCTGTACTTCTTTGTGAACCAGCGTGGGTATCTGTTTTCACTGCCCAGAACTTAGTCCCAGCTTTTCTCTGGACAGAACAAGTTCAGCTGTCTCTGACAATACATAAAAACATTTTTGGACATTAGGACAGAATTTAGGCACCGATGTGGCGCCTAAATCCACATGTGGGTGATAAAAACCTACATCCCACTTTTATGTCCATGTATCTTTTTGATCAGCCTAAGAATGTGTCCAGTTATCACATTTACTTTGCAGTAATTGCATGCTGAAACTGGAAGAATCTTCTCATTCCTCCTCCCCTCCCACTACATTCCCTTCCTCTCCCCCAATGAGATTTGAGAATCAAGTAGCATGGAACATATTGAGTGAGATCACCTCAAAAGCTGTTTTGTGGGTTAGTTTTTCACCAGCAGTTATTTATATTATACTGGTTTTTTTTTGCTTTCAAGTACCTGAATAATACCATGTCCTTGTGCAAATACCCAGTTATTTATATTATACTGGTGGTTTTTGCTTTCAAGTACCTGAATAATACCATGTCCTTGTGCAAATACTTCTATGTTTTCAGCTTTCACTGCAGTATTTTCTAATGCTCTTCTGACAGAATGAACAGTGTAATGAACATTATTAGCTTTGAGTCCTGAAATTAAAAATAAGAGGGTTAGTGGATACAACAAATACTTGAAAGTGACACCATTTTTTTAAGAGGAAAAAGTATCTAACCTCTTTTAGATGATGCATCTACGTTTAACATTGCAGCACTTTACCTGACAATACTAATGCAATGCCTCCACATGCATTGGGAGAAGACATGGATGTGCCATTCATGAGCTGTGTTCCTCGCAGAGTCCAGTTTGGAACAGAAGCAATAGCACCTCCTGGGGCACTGATACTTACTCCAAGGGCTCCATCAGTGCTAGCATTAAAAAACAATGGTTAAAACACCAACTTTTTTTTTTGGTACAATTTAAGATAAAGTTGTCAGTACACTTAAAAAAAAGTTCTCTTTAGAGAATACTCACTGCATTTTACTTCACTAAATCTATTAACTCATTAAACCAAGAAAAAGCATGCTACCAAGTAACAATTTAAAATGACATGTTAATCATCAGCTGTGCCTGTTTTACAGTGAGAGGTTTCTAAATTTTCACTCCTTCAATATTCTCCACCAGGCTTGAGTTTAGCCAGCAGAATACTTCCTGGGATTTGAATTACAAAATGCACATAAACCAACTTATTAAACACTTCAATAAATAAATTAGCATTCCATGTAGCCTATTCAATGGTTATTGCTTTAAAGAAAAATAGTAAAAGGGGGAGGAAGGCCTCCAAAGATCCAAAAGATCCAAGATTCAAAACCTAGACTTCTAATTTTGCATACCGACAGTTCACTACCAGGTTAAGTTTTGAATTTACAGGCCTGAGACAAGAGGACAAGGGGAGAACACATAAAAAGTAATGCCAAGAAGTAGACCAGGATCAGCTGGGTCTGATCCCTAAACCCCACGTCTTTCACATGCATATTTAAGAACAGAGCAACTTGTGTGCCTATGGCACAGTTAGAATAGCATCCAGTTTTCATGTCTTGTGAGCCAGATATGCTTCATTGTTCTTGCTCTGGACAGACAAAAATTGCACTGCTTGAATTAGGACAGCCCTGAGCCTGAGCTACTCAGTCCTGTAGAGAGGTAGGATATTTTAGGGTACTTATATCCCACACTAACAGCTTCATATGTCTAAAATCAGAATATTCCAAGTATGATACGGCAATGTGACATTTGGACATATTTTATGACAGCCGTATATAAACTCATAAAAAGGTTCTGCATCCCAACACCTCAGGACTAGCAGTGCACAGCATATCTGCCTGAAAGCCTCTACTGCTTACTGTGACAGACTGAACCCTACATCAAGACTGCTCTAGCAAACTTTAGGAACTCTCCAGTCATCTGCATATTGCACCCTAAACAAAGGGAATCCTCCTTTGGCCAGACTTGGCCTTTCAGCTGACTATTTTAGAGGGCACAGTGACTAAGCACACAAAAAATTGTATTTATATGTGTGTGTGTCTATCAAAATTAATTACAAATTAATCTCCCTTTCTCAGCGGAAGGCAGACAGCACATTCCTCTTTTCCCTACACAAACATGACAATCTTTCATAGTAACATTCTTGAAACAATATACTTGCCTGTAAATATACAAACACCATAACAGCTAGAGGACAATTCCCAAGAGATCTTACTATTTTTTTTCTTTGCTTATCTATCAGATTACTATCAGATGCTTCTGAGAAATGAAATAAAAATTGGAGTTTACATTGTACTTAAAATTTCTTTCACACATATTCCAGAAAATTTTCTGTAGTGTAAGGTAGAAAGCAATTTTTTTCTGCCTACTCACACCTCTACTGAACTCAAACAAAACCCTTGAGTAAATTACACCATCACAGCAAAGTCACTGAAGCCAGAAGTAACACCACTGCAGTAACAGTATCCATTTTAATCTTCATCACTTATACCACATTTAACCACACCAACCTAATGAAATAAATGCTATAGAAAAAAAAAAGGAAATTAAAAAAACTAAAACAAATTCCCAAACAACCTTTTAGTAACTTTTATCATCTTTGAGTAAATCTGCACCCAAATAGTTTTCTGGAAAATACAGGCTGTGCTGAGGCAGTTCCATGCTATTCCCTTTCCTCCAGGAGTTCTAGATCCCAACATACAAAGGTGTTACCAGAAGAGCAGGCTAGTTATGCTTTTTCCGCAGGAAAGAAATACTTTGATTTTGGTATTGGTGACCAATTTTAGATTTTGAGTTATATCACCTGAGCCGCAAAGTAATCAGTTGTTCTTGGAATATAACCTACCTAGGCCCTCTGGATGACCAAGTGTACTGATTTGCTGGCAGTTTTTCTCTCAATGAGTATTCAGCAACCATCATGTCAGGTGACACATAAGCACCAACACCTGTAAAAACACTCAAGCATTTTAGATGTAATATGAATTTTTATGAAGAACTAAAGTAAAATTCTTCTGTGGTTTAAATTCTTTATGATAAGAATTCTTGCTTGACATCTTGACATTTAAAATGGAAACACACATTTTCCATCTCATTAAATCCAGATATTTTTGCAAGGCAAGTGTAAAGTATCATGCTATGCAGTAACAACGCTGATGGGCACACTGTATAATAGTGTGCTAAATATCATGCAAACTTCCAAGTTTCACTTTTATTCAGCTAGAATATAACCTTCTACACTTCCTTCTCAACAGGTAATTTATACATGTCTTCTCTCTCTCCTGCGCCCCTTTCCTCTGTTTACACTGCTCTGCCACAAACTACAACTGCACATCAGAGCAATCCATGTGCACTGGTTCATGCTCATGTGGCTCCCAGCTACACCCTCTGGAGCAAATGGCCACGTCCACAGATCCCAGTCACGAGACAGTCTTTACTGGGTATCAGTTCCAAGTACACAGAGTATGTAAATGACTACACCAAAGCCTGATAAAGTAGCAACTGTAGAAGAAAATGCCAAGGATGCACACTGCAACTATGATTTTGTTTACAGCACAAGCATTACCATAGTGGTACAAAACTACCATACAAAGTTGACAAATTTGGCAAGGCCTGCGTCTGTCTCTGTGTTAACTAAGCCAACCTGTCAGCTGTATTTTGCTTTACCCTCAAAAAAACAAAAACTCTATCTGCTTCACTCCAGATGGAGGACAGGAGCAAACTACTTGGCATGCAGAGTGAATAATCACGCCGTCTCTAGAGTGATACAGCTAAGCTGAATTGACAGAGTAGATGTGCTGTAAGAGCAAAGCCAGTGCAGACCTGAAAAGAGCTTGTTAGTTCCAGTTCCAACCCCCAGTCTCAGTAGTGCATTAACAGCAGATTAACTTTTAGAAAGTAATCAGCATTAATTCTGCCAGATGCCCTGGAATAGCAGCTCTCCAGCTTCCAAGGCTTCACGCTAGTCTCCTTACACACTGCTCTCCTTGCATAAGAATTCTGACACTTAAAAAGCATCTTGTGTAATGCAGTAGTGAGATCATAAAGCATTTATACAAAAATTAAGACTAAGGAAGTCACCCCTGAATGCTAGCCATTTTGCTCAAACTTATAACTCAACCTTTCACTAAAATATCAAAACCATACATTAACCTATCAGAAAAAGAATTTTAATGATAGTAATAGACTTGCACAGCAGTGGCACTGCAGTTGGAAAAACTCCTCCCCTACAAGGACTCGTCTAGATCCTAGCATGGGATTATTTTTTATCCAAATTAAAAACATCTGTTTCACTAAAAATAAAAATCAGAGTATCTGATGAAGACAGATGATCAAAAACTTAGCTCTTACAATTCAAAATGCATTGCAATACTTTCCAGAAGACTAATTAGAATCCAACCGAGAATCATATTTTCCTAAGTTGCACTTACCAGCAGCTATGGGTTGGAGCAAAGTGGTGTGCTTAGACAGTTACAATTGAAAAAATAATCCTGAAATATTCAAGTGAGTCAGACCAAAGATTTCTTTTGCAAATTTTATACAAAGCCACATTAAATCAAGACCATTTGCCTCCCACCTCTTTTCCACATATGTAAGGTCTTGAACTGTAAGAAGATAACAATCTAAATTTGTATACCTAAGCATAGAGCAAGTGCCTCTCTCAGAATTAACCTTGTAGTACAGCAGGCAATTTTTTAGATTAGTTTAGCAATCAAGCATCTAACAAAAGTACAAAGTTTGAAAAGACAGAAGCTGAATACTGTCAAAATTTTTTTCTAAATGAATTATTTACCTATTACACTAGATGTAGTTCCACCAGGACATCCAACTGTAGAAAGGCAAGGACCATTATTTCCTGCACTTGAAACATAAATTACATTGTGTTTCCACACTGCTTCATTAATCACTTCACAAATTCTCCTAAAGTAAGAGAAATAAATGAATCATTTACTCAACAATATTGCTTTCTTCCACAGGACAAAGCTCCCATTTCTAGTACAACCTTTGTCCATTCACCAAACAAGGAAGCTTATGCAGCCTGCTTCCCACACCTAGCAGAGGCGGTTCCAGTACAGAAGCTGACCACAATAATATCTTCTGGTTTCAAAAAGGAGTGAAAACTATGTAGTGATCCTAGGTCTTCAAAAAATACCCCACATATCATAGGGTGTTGCAACTATAAAAGTTCTTTATTATGCTAAAATATTATTTGTATATGTGTTATAAATCTGTGTATTATATATTTGTATACAAATTATAAATGAAAAGCTTTTTCAATGGGTTTACTTCTTTCAAAGCCAGTTTAAAATTTATACTGCACAGTTTCTAACTTATGAATCATGTGAGCCTGGATGATTCACTCTTAACACACACTTGACTTACAGAAAGTTCAACAAATGCAATTCCACCTCTATGAAATTAAAATACTTTAACCACAGCACTACTCACCCAGAATTTGGCCAGTGTGTTGCTTCTCCATAGCTGTAGTTGACAAGATCACATTTGTATTTTATTGTTTCTATCATCTGATAAAGTAAAAATGGAAGTCAAAATATGTGCTAGTCAAAGAATGAAAGTGACTTCAGGAATGACAGAAAACATTTGCTTAAATTGATTTGCTACATATCTAAGAAAGATATATCTTTTGAATCTAGAAAATCATTTACTGCAGCCAGATAAGAGCTATTTCCCCAAGAAATTAAGAAAATTAAAAAAAAACCTATTCCCTGAAAAGTCTTATTCTTATAGCCTCATTTTTCCCAGCCATAAATGAAGACCCTAAGAGATTACCTAAGAAATTATCCTAAGAGAAAACTGCATACAACAGTATTGTCTCAAGAACATAAAATTCTCCTTTCCTGCACAGTTGGACTGAACTCCAAAAAGTTGCAAAAAATTTATTGTTCATGTTGCTACATCAAAATATCCTATGGACCACAAGCACAGTCTTTTCATATCCATTTCTTGAGTTAAATTTTTCCTTATCAACTCATTACACAGAAAAGCTCTTGGGTCCTTCATCACTGAAAGGAATGCTATTTTTCCTCACTCTTAAGAAAAAGAGTTAACACAAATACAGCAACATAGGTAGATACTTGCCTCTATTTTAGATTTATTCTAGATCTGAGTAACTATAAAAGATACATGACAATACAAAGAACTTCAGCAAGTATGCAAGTAACTTCTCTCATGCATCAAGCTAGTCAGACACTGCAAGTCTGTTAGCCAGGAGTAACTCTAAGAGCTCTATGCAACAGAAGTCTTGTTTTATATTAAAACACTAGTCTTAAATTATGGTTTAAAATACATTCTAGCTGGTTTTAGGGGTTTTGGCTGTGCTATTTATTGCTTAAGGGTTTGGGGTTGTTTTTTTATGGGGTGGCTTGGTTGTTTTTTTAATTTTTGGTATTTTTGTTGGAAATACTGTAGAGCCATAAAAATAAAGCCCAAATAAACAAATAAGGCCTGAAGTTTCACAACATTCTACACTTAAATCACACTGCTCAGATTAATAATTTCTTCTGTTAAATACCCACAGCTCTTATGAGACCAGTGCCAGTTTCCATTGTACTTAGTCTCGTGTCACCAATCTTGATTGCAAGAATCTGAGCTCCAGGAGCCACACCATTCCGTTCTGGTTCTTCTGGAAAGTATCCAGCTGCAATACTAGCCACATGTGTTCCATGTGCTCCTGAGCAAAGGAAAAGCACCTATTTTTAGTGAACTTCATTTGTAAGAATTCAATATGCTACAGCTCAATTAATTTTCACTTATTGAGCTGTAAGCACATAAATCCAGTCAGTGGCCAGTCACCAGTGCTGCTGATACCAAAAGGGTGACAGTGTTCACCAGGACTCAGCAGTGGAGCCAGCCCTGGTCAATGCTTTTTGATGGTCTGGACAAGGGGATTAAGAGCATCCTCAGTCACTGTGCAGACAACAACAGGCTGGCAGGAGTGCTGATCAGCTGGAGGGTAGCAAGGCTCTACAAAGGGAACTGGACAGGCTGGATCAATAGGCTGAGGCTAATTGTATGGGTTTCAACAAGGCAAACACCTTTTTAAGGAGAGAAAGGAGGCAGCAGGAAGAGAGGAACAAAGTATTAACTTAATTCCACTAACAAAAGTTACTTTGAAGGCTCAACACTTCCTACTCAAAGTTATAAATATTACACCTGAGACAACTCAGGTAGCAGGGATTAAGAACAGAAAACAAAACTGCACAAAAACATAGAAAGGAACATCTCAAATAAGGTACCATCTATTTAGAAACCTGAACTGCTTATGTAGCTCTACTGAGATGGGATAGTTTCATAAGAAATGAAGAGCACTTTTCAAAGCAAATGCATCCATACCATCCCACCCACTCAGTTTGCTTTCAAAACAAACCACAATTATTTAAAGAATACTCTAGAACAGCTTCAGAGTGGTTTGAGCTACAGTTATAGTGACATGTGACATAAAAAAAAGTTTGTATAAACCTAAATTAAGATCAATACCCATTTTGTTCATGGGTATTATATTTAAGATTCTTAAAGTATACAAGTACAAAGGAGAGCAATTAAAAATCAATCATCACTCTAACAAACATAACAAAAAGGTTTTTTTGAAAGAAGGCTCTCTTTAGTTGAGCTTTTAAGATGCATGTACATGTTAAATACCTAAGTATGCATCTTCTACGTATACATGCTTATGTACACAAAGTTGACAATAATTCACACAAAAATGGAAGGAAGTTTGGTAATGAGCCATCATTACAGATTTAGTTCAGCAAATAGGAGTATTGATCTTGAAAACCATAATAACTAATGCTGTACTGTGACAGCTGCCTCAAGCCACCCCAAATATCAGAAACAAGACCCAATACAAATTACTGCTTCTCATGATACCTATTTAGCAGCAAAATGCTTTAAGATTTTCATTTACCTCCACTTGTCACAATAGAAAGGAGGTTTCCATCATCGTATATATTCACAGAATAATTCAACATCTCAGATGTTCCAAAAGATCCATATTCCTGAGCCTCTTTATAGGTTCTCAGCACTGTACAGTTAGTTAAGTCACCACTCTCACTTGTATCTATGCAGGCTCTGTTGATAAAAATAAACAAAAAAAGACAATGTCCCAACTGCTGCAAACTTTTGGTTACCTACCCTCTACAGCTGAGCATAGCCAAAAGAACTCAAGAAGTTTGGTTCTGTGTTTATGGTATCTTTAAATAGTTCTTTGAGCAACTACCTTAAATCTTGGTTGTTTATACTTAAGATTCAGAAGCTACGAGTTATCTAAATAAACTGATTTTCAAATTCAAAGCAAGAGTATTTGAAAAGCAAGAGTATGAAAACTTATGCAAGTTCAAGGAAAAATTTTACTAAAAGTAGATGTTCGGTACTGATACACAAACATTTGAAGTTTTACCGTTTTGTATGATGTACATTATCAAAGAAGTGCCATGTTACATCCTGAAGTCTGTGCACAGACACCTGTTTTATTTTATATCACTAATGGATAGTCAAAACAATTTTATTCTGCTTCAGAATAAAAATCCCATAAACTTACACTCATATCACACTGTCTTCAACAAGACTTTATTCTACTCCATCTTCATTTGGGACTAGAATTTTGTCAAGAAACTCAACTGACACAGCAGGATTATTTTAAAGCAAAAAATACTTAAAATCTCTATAAAGAGGGCAGATATAAAAGGTAACAAGTCTTCGATGCCAGCTATTGTTTTATGTAAAGAACAAGACATTTAGACAAGTCATTTACCTCCAGGTCTCACCGTCATACCACACTACACAATCATATACTGGGCCAGGATCACTGTATTTTTTCTCAAAAGAATTCAACAATTCCACTTGATTTTGGAGTTCTTCCTTTATTAGCTTATTTACCTAATAAGGCAAACAAAATTCAGTTAGAGTATTTCCAAAATTATCACAAGATATGTAATCCTACGTTCTTTTCTAGTGATATACATTTTTTCCATTACTTTCTCAGGAATGTTAGACTATCATAGGAGTCACAAAAATCTACAGGTGCAATGGCTTTCAACAGTGCACTGTGTATTTTTGGCCTATTATGTACAACTACTTCTAATTTCTGTAAATGTAGCATTATTTTCTTAAAGACTATTAAACGATAAAGTAGTATCTGTGGCATTTCTGGTACTTCATTGAAATAGTACACAGTTTACACAAGAAAGAATATCTTTAGAAAATTCCAACTTTGAACACAGCAAGAATGGTGGCCTCAAAACATAGCACATTAAATTAAAAATGAAACTTACTGAAAATATCCAACAAATTGTTTTAAGTAATCCTATTTTCATACTGGAGACCAACTCTCAAAAGTAAACAACAAGCAAACTGAACAACCATGCATATAAAGACTTAGAAAATTAATCAGAAGATACACTGGCAAATTATCTGCCAAAAGAGTCTCAAGTACCTTTCCTTCACTCAACTAATGAAACATTTTAATCCTGTCAACCAGTAACAAATTGTTGCAAGGAACAAGTTCATAAATTTAGACTTCAGGCAAACCTGTGAGGGAGAGCTATGAGCAGCATCAAATTCTTCTTGTTTCCTACAAGCCTCTGCTAGAGCCAGCCTGTGAGCAGGATCCCAGAGCTTTTCCTTGCGCTCCTTCTGCAAAATAAAACAGAGGTTTCTCAACATACTAAGAAATATATGGCAAAGTATGAAGTCTATAAAGGTAATTTGAAAATTCTGATTTGAGACAATGGCTAAAAAAGTTCCATACAATAGCATAAATAAGCATAAATTGCCACACAATTAGAAAAAAAAGGCTATCCGTATTTTCTGTACTTCTCGCCTCAATGGACCACTGTGAGGAGGATTTCTAAGCCACCTCCTGTTTCTCTGAAAAAATCACAGAAGAAATAGAATCAATAAAAATCAGAGAGAATAGCTTTCAAGTGCTGGTTAGCAATCTAAGTTTGTTAGCAAATCACATGTTGCAGTGTTCTAACAAAATTAAGAAACAGAACTGTAAAATATGACTATATAGCAAAAAGAAAAGATAATTCATCCTTACCTGAATCCTCTCCTTAAGAGCTTTAGGATAGATATCATAGCCATTTTTTATGCCAATGTGATATTTGCCTGAAGGATTTACCCAGTTTGCTGGAATCTACAGAAAAGTACATTTAGAAATAGGTTACCTAATGGCATTAAAAGAACTCCTCAAACAAAAAAGCCCAACACTGTGTAAGAGAGCTTAGCAGAACAAATCTGCAAATATTGCAAATTTAATTCTCTGTCTCCGTAACAGTAACTACTGCACTGTTCCAACAACATAACATGGCATTTTCAGTTCAGCTCCCAAAAAATCAGTATCAATTCATGTGACACAGCCATTGAGCATCTTTAAGCATTATTTGCTCTGATAGACTACTTTTAAAACACAAAGCCCCAGCTTTACTGAATTTGCTGGGCAGAGGTCTGGGGAAATAACAATACTGTAAGTGAAACCTAACATGAGCAAGTATGGCTGGAAGCCATGACAAACACCTGAATATCTCTGAATATCATCTGAATATCTCTATAATCTGGTAATTTAGACTCTGCATATCAGGATATGCTCATCCTAGTAACAAAAGTAAAAGAGCAACAGATTCAGCCTTACAATCTTTGCAAAATTAAGAAGAAAGCTGACACGGATCTCTCTGGAGAGATCCAAAGATGAGATGCCCCCATATCACATCACCAATCCAATCAGGAAATCAAGAACATGTTAGCAACATCAGTTCTGTGTACCCAAGACCTCTACTGGATTTCGTGTCCTTTCTGGAGACCCTACAGCATTTCTGCTATGCATAGAGAGAATTCAGTGAGTCTACAATGAGGTCCTCACAGATTTTTCAGTCTCTAAATCTATTCACCACAAGCTTAACAGAATTCCACTTGTAGCTTATGCAAATGTGGAAAATACTACCACATTTCAAGACACTACTGTGTCTGACATTTTTTAACATATTAGCACATTTTCTTAAGCCAGTTTCCAAAGCTGTATCAGACACTATTTTGAACAAATAATTAAATTATTATCAGGCCCCCCAAAAAGCCCTGTACACACTCCTATTCAGCTACAGACCATATCAGAAATAAAGACACAAAAAGTGTAAAAACCACTAAGCAATCTACATGAAGATGAGTAAATGCAGCATTAGGTTTGGGTAAGATCTGGTTAGCTGTTATCAGTTGGGCTAGGGTTGATTTTCTGCACAGTAGCCAATATGGGGCTGGTTTGGATTTGTGCTGAACACTCTTAATAACTCAGGGATGTTTTAGCTGTTGCTGGGCAGTGCTTGCACAGAGTCAAACAGTGTGCAGGCTGGAGATACACAAGGATTTGGGAGGGGACATAGCAAGGACAACTGATCCCAACTTGACCACAGGGATATTCCATACCATATAGCATCATGATCAGCATATAAAGCTGGGGCAAGAAGGAGAGTCATTCAGAGTGACGGCATTCATATTCAGGTCACCATTTGTGTGGAGCCCAGCTTTCCTGGAGATTGCTGAACACCAGCCTGCCCATGGAAAGTGGTGAATGGATCCCTTGTTTTCCTTTGCTTGCGTGCAAGGCTTTTGTTTTACCTATTAAACTGTCTTTTATCTCTATATGTAAGTTTTCTCAGTTTCACCCTTGTGATTCTCTTCTCCCCATATTGCCAGGGGAAGGCTGAGTGAGAGTCTCTATGGTGCTTAGCTGCTAGCTGGGTTTAAACCACAACACCTGGCTAAAAGGAAGTGAATTCTGTAAAAACCAAAACAGGTGCTAAATTTGCTGTTAACCAAAGAAGACGATGTCCTGTTGTGTCTCTATACCACCAAATACTCACCTTTAAAGTTCTTCCAGAAAGACCAGTAATTTCTCCATCTTTAGGTTCTGCAATGGTGCAAGTAGTTACATCACCACTGCCCGTAGTGTCAATTATATCAATTATCTTCGGTTTCCCATCAGTTGTAATCTGAAAATATGACCACAGAAAGATTGGAAAATGTACTTGATTACCCTTCAGCACACAAACCAGGAAAATTTTGTTGTTAAAAATACCAACTAGCTTTTTCAGACACCAACCTTTAACTGAAGGACATAATCAACTTGAACCCAAGATAAGTTTTCAAAGAACTAAGACCAACACATCCCTCTTTCTGGTTCATAAAAATCTACTTATTTCTAATAAGAATTTAGAAAAGAAAAAAGTAAAAACATTGTATCACCAAAGCACAGGCAGCCTCAATTTAAAACAGAGCTTAAATTTGCAAAAAATGTATTTGCAAGAACTACTATTTGTTTTCATATTATTTGTTGTGTTGCTTGTGACCCCTCATTCTGACAAATTTTATAGTAATGAGTGCACAAGTAAGAAAATGACAGGTGCTGAAGTACAAGCTCTCACAAACTGTAATCTATTAACTGAGCTTAAAGGAACCTAAAAGGGACAGAAGTTACTATTACCTTAGTTTTCCCATTTCAAAGATTCTGCTTTGTGTTTTAATCCACTTGAACTGTTAGTGGCTACAGCTATTTACACCTAATACTTCTGTAAGGAGTCTGGAAAGATGTTATAGCAGACTCCCAGGACCTAAAGAGAGCCTGTAAGAAACCCGGAAGCAACTTTTTACATGGCACAGGCAGTGATAGGACAAGGAAGAATGGTTTGAAACTAAAGGAGACTGTCAGACTAGTCATAAGGAAGAAACTTTTCAGTGTAAGAACAGTGAAACACTGGAACAGGTTGCCCAGAGAGGTAGTGGATGCCCCATCCGTGGAAACATTCAAGGTCAGGTTGGACGGGGTTCTGAGCAATGAGATCAACTTGAAGATGTCCCTGCTCCTTGAAGGGAGGTTGGACTAGAGGCCTTTCAAGGCCCCTTCCAAACCAAACCATGCTATGATTCTATGAATTGATCATATAGACATATTTTTACAGTTCTGTATCAAAGAGTGATTTAAAAAAAGATTATATCAATCATCTTCCTAGTATTTCCTATACATTAACTACCCTGAAAGTGAAAAAAACTTCGTATTCAGAAAAACAGCAACATTTGTTGTTTTCTACCATTTAAATATATGGTATTTTTGCCTTTATTCTCTATCAGTAATTTTGATGTTAGACATAACATATGGAAGGTTGTTTTGTTCCAATAATGATCTGGAATTATGAATTTAGCTACTGGAAGCTACTGACACATTCAAATTGTTTTATAAAAGTTACTCTGCTGTTGCCAAAAGGACAAGAGTCAGGTTCTTATCACATCTCAGCAAACAAGGATAGATACTTCCATGGTCTCAAATCCTCATGGCTTAAAAAAAAACCCAAAACAACAAAACAAAACCCAACCAAAACCCATACAACCCAAAAAACAACCTCCCAGAAACTTAACAACAAAAAAAAACCAACCCAGACAAGTAATAAGCAACACCCCCAATAAAAACAGGCTTAAGCAGCTTCAAAAAATAAAAAGAACCAACTCCAAATATTCCAAACCCACAGCAACCATAAAAACAGCATAAATTTCAAATCAGCATCAATCCCAGAAGATAACAAATTCTGCTTTTGAAGATAACAAATTCTGCTTTTGAATAAAGCTTGCTAGGGAAGAATTTTCATGACAGAAACCAACACTCTGCTCATACAAGTTCAAGTTCACTGGAGAAAATCTTTAGAGCATCTTAACCTGGTAAAACATCAACTGAACAGTAGTTACATAGTAGTGAAAATTTACTTGGGAAACTGCATAGGCACTAAACCATACACTTTTCAAACACGTGTATTTAAGGTCTTCAATGTTGTCCACAAGTCACACAAACGTCAAGAGCTGCTCCAATACTAAAGCAACTGCAAGCCAATCCTGACATTAACACCACTGGACATTTTTCAATATGCCTCTACTCAAAGCCAACTATTCAGTGATCAAAGTACAAGAAAACAAGAATGAAAATGTAAGCCAAGGTGACTTGCTTGAAGGAGGCAATTTATACAGCAACAGGTGGCCAGAACACAGATTTATGCTGCAGCAAGCTTGGGTAGTTTTAGAAGTTGTTTCCTAGCCCGAAAGACAACTCCTACACTAAATGGCTCTCTGCCTCCTAGCTGAAACCTAGCAGGCCCACACATGCACATGAGTTTGCACTGTCAGAACCAAGAAATCAGAGTCTTTCAGTCAGACACAAGAAACTCAGAGTTTCAGCTGGTCTAAGGCTCAATTCCTAACAGCAGCAATCCCAACAGGTTCACGGTAATTTAGTGCAAGTAACCGATACGGCGGCTCCTGCTACCATGGACTGCTCCTCGGCACACTGCCCACCAGCAGCAATGCCAGAGTGAAACTCAAGAGTTCAGCTCAGTTTTCTTTTGCAAATCTTGTCATTCTGAGTTTAAAACTATAATAAAAAATAATCAAGCAACCTTGATCAACTCCCTTAGGTGAACAGAAGAGTACTGACGTAATATACTGATTACAGACAGAAGGTATATTTTAGTACCTTTTGCATTAAAATTAAAAAAAAAAAATTTAAACAATTAAAAATATTTTATACTGTGTTCAGAAAAAAAACCCCCAATCCTACCTTAATTATTATGGCTTGCCTACAGGCATTTGAAAAACAAATCAGTAGTTTAAAACTGAAAACTACTTTGCTGTTTATACAATTCTGCTTGAAAGTTTAAAGTCCTACTTACAAGTTAGTTCTGACTTTGTAAAGCAGATAAATTAGTAAATTGAGAACACTAACATTAATCTATGTGCATAATCCTGGCAAATGTTCAGTTATAACAGAAGTAGAAGAGCACCAGCATCTATGACAATCACAATGAAAGAAAAAGGAAAGCCAGATGCATTTTAGCATGTTTTTGCCAGCCCATACAATCACTGACTCCAGCTGACAGCTATTGCAGCCACAAGAGATGAACAAGTTCTTCAGCACTTTGGTCACGGGACAGCTGATCATCATTATCACAAATAAAATAACCTCCAAGCAATTTTTTTAACTCAGTGCTGAAAACCAAGTAAAAACGAACTACCTGCTACAGCTAAAAAGTTGTCGCATAAAATTACAAATTAGTGATAGTAAATAATAATTCCAAATGCCACTTCACAAAATAAATAAATCTGCAAGAAGCTAAGTAAACTGACTTACTTATCATGAAACGTAAGAAACCACAATAGGAACAGGGAAAGGGAAAAGGACAGGGTGGGGCTGAGCAAGACCATACACATACAACCGCAACACTCCATTAAATGCACCTAAAATTTCATCAGTCACTGTGCCTTAATGAGGCTTCCAAACAATGACTTGGCAGACAGTAGGAAATACATTCTACCAAGAAGACTGAAAGGGGGGAAAAGTCACAGGAAAGAAGCAGACAAACTAAAATGTACAGTTGGTGTCAACTGGTGGAAAAGCAATGGAAGAGGAGGTGAATGGAATTCCCTACAGGGCACTGGTTACAAAAGATTCATAAAGAAAAGAAAAGTACAAGCTAGATTAATGTTTTTTTATGTGTCAAAGAAAGCCAACCAACAGACAACAGATCTAAGAAGGTTTTGTTAACTATTCTCTCTATAGCAGCAAGCATCCAGGGACGAACAGAAATGTAATGGTATTTCCCTGTTAAACTCTGTCCCCAAATCTTTCTGTGCCTCAAAAATGGAACAAACAGTGCTATCAATGTTTACAAACCAAGTCACAGAATCAACAAGCAAAGGAACCCTATCCAGGAATGAAACACTATGGAGCAGCAAAGAAATTAACTGTTTTGTTTTGACTAAGAACTCCACTATATCCAAATCACAGTAGCGCATTTTAGTTTGTAATAATTACTTTCATTAACCAGAACTCAAAGTTGCAATACCAATTAACCTTGCTATACGTTAGCACTGATTCACCATCATATAGCTCTAACTCTATGCCAGGCCAGGGATTGACAAGAAAACTGACAGTAAAAAAAAGCAGCAGCATCAAAAACAGGGGTGTTAAAAAAAGAACCCTCAAAAATTGTCCCAAGGTTAGAAACTACTTCTTGCAGTACAGCTATGCTGTGTCACTGCCTATGCCCAGGACACTGATTCATTGCATTGAGGCAAAATGTAAACTGGCAAATGCTCCAGAGAGTGAGAACATTCTTTTGCTGAAGAAACACCTACAAAGCTACTCTAGACTGGGTGCTGCCTATGCCTCCTTTATAACTCCCTGCGCACCAAGTCTCCCCAGCTGTACTTCAGCAAACCCCTTAAGCCAGGTGCATTAATTGGGAAGTATGGAAAGATCACACAACTTCTTCACACATTTTTCTAACAACCCTGCAAACTTACTCTCACCCACTGCAACATGAATTCCACATCCTGCTCTCCAAATCTTACTTCTTCTACAAATCTTTTACTGCACTACCTGAAATTTTATCCTGTGTGTAAAGAAAGTAAGTTGGAGAAAACTGATATGGTCAACATGGAGATCATGATGCTTCATAAATACCCCTTTTGAGCTTTGGGTTACCTATATCAGAACAAAGCTTCCCACTACTGCCAGTAAATTCATACTGGGGTTTTGTTGTTGACCACTGCTCATGCATAACCTCTAGAAATGTAGGGTTTTTTGCTTTTATATGTGAAATTTCAGAACTATGCACATCATTCAATTTATATTCGCACTTTCCTAATTGTCTTCCATTACTTTCTGCTCTGCCCATGGTATTATCATGCTTTCCTTTTGGCTAGTTTTCATTAAGATTTCCAATTACTCTTCCACTTACCCACAACTTCTTACCAAAAGCACCAGCTTCATTTCAGCTTAAATCAATCGAATTTACACCGGGCCACTCTTTCCCTCCATCCAACCTGTCCTCTTAACTCATCCTCTAGTTTAACTGCATCCCATAAGGAGTCATTTCAGAACATGGAACTAATGATCTGCCAGGGTCAGGTCCCCGAATGAGGTCACTTAGGAGTTAATTCTACACCAAAGAAAATACAGAAACCAACACAAGCCCTGCTTAGTCAAAACAAAACAAAACAAAGGATTCAGCGTCCAAGTGAGCTGCGTACAACTCCGAATCCTTCTTCCACGGGCTCTTCTGCCATCACTCAGACAAAACATGTTGACAAGAAATCAAAAGCAGCGGTGACACAAAAGGCTACACGGAAACTTACAAGAATAAGAAATATTATGAGACAAGGGTTAAAAGAAACAAGTGCTGAGAAATGCCCAAACTGACATCACACACACAAATTTACAAAACCGACATGGAGACACAAAGTTGGCAGATCAAAAAACAAGCTGGCAGAATCGAATTTGATACAGACTGTTATTGCAACAAAACGCACAGGAAATACAAAGAGAAAGACGGGTATGCAAATTGTGCCAGAAATACACTTTCCATGTAAAAGACCTAGGCGGCTGTGTGTAGCCTCGAGGTACCTCGAGCCCAAGTACCGCTAAGGTTTAACAAAAACACAAAGCGTTCTTTTATAATGAGCTCTGCGCGAGAGAAGGCAGCCCGAGAAAGAGATTTAGGTGCCACAACACGCCTGTGGATTAGAGTGCCATAATACGCCAAGGAGCAGGCACCCCACAGCAGCAGCACCCGGCGAGAGCGGTGCGGAGCCCCCGGCCCTCCCGCACCCGAGCCCCCGCTCACGCGTGCTGGGCGGGAACCGCGAGCGAACGCCCGGCCACGAGTCCCGCCGCAGGGACAGTCCCCGGGACAGCCTCCGGGGCCTCCCCTGCTCCCGCCGCCGCTGCCGAGGGCCGCTCCAGGGCCATGGCCGGCCCCGTACTCGTCCCCGCCCTCCCGGGGTCGGTCCGGCGGGACCCGGGAGCTCCCTGCGAGCCGCGGCCGTGACTCAGGGCCGCCGCCGCCCCGCTCTACCTGCATGCCCGGCGCCCCGGGGTCCACGCCGGTGTCCAGCACGGCCAGCAGCACCCCCCGCCCGTCGAAGTCGGGGAAGCGGGCGAGGAAGGCGGCGGCGCCGGTCTCCTTCTTTGGCAGGAGCCCGTGGAACGGGAACGGCTCCTCGGCGGCGGCCGCCATGGCGCGAGACCGGGGCGCGGGGCCGGCGGGGACGGGCTGCGAGAGGCCACGGGAGGGCGGCGCATGCGCGGTGTCCCCCCACCAGCCCGCGGGGACGCACACCCCCTCGCGGTCCGCAGCGCGAGCAGCACCGGGGCTAAACTGACCAATAGAGCGCCGAGGAGGGCGGGCCCTGCTGTGCAGGTAGCCAATCACGGGAGGGACGCGCTCCACGCGCCGGGCCTGTGGCGGCCACGTACGGCAGCGGCGGGAGCCGAGGGCACCTTCCAGCGCCGCCCCGGGGCTCCCGGCCGGCCGCGGCCTCGGGCCCCGCCCGCAGTGCTGCGGTGCCCGGCGTCCTCCTCATCGAAAATGGAATCACGGAATCACTTAGGTTGGAAAAGACCGCTGAGATCATCAAGTTCAAGCAATGACCGAACGCCGTGGCACTGTCAGCCAGACCATGGCAATGAGTGCCAAGTCCAGTCTTTCCTTAAACACCTCCAGGGACGGTGACTCCACCATCTCTCCGGGCAGCCCATTCCAATATCTAATCACGCTTTCTGTGAGGAATTTCTTCCTGGTGTCCAACTGAACCTCCTTGGCACAGGTCTTGCGGCCATTTCCTCTCAGGCGGCCTCTTGCTGCCTGGGAGAAGAGGCCGAGCCCCGCCTGGCTGCACCCTCCTGCCGGGTGGGCAACCAGCCAGCAGGAAGGTCTCCTCTGAGCCTCCTTTACTCAAATGACCGATGTGCAAACATTTACTTAGTGAGTTTTTTTCTTCTTCTTTTTCTGCTGATTCATTGTTCAGCATAAATAGGCCAGTACCAGTTCAACTATTTAGCAAAGAGCAGGGAAAAAACCCCAAACCAAAAACTAACCAGCCAGCCAAAAATCCCCAAACAAACAACCCCCCCAACTACACAAAAACAAACAAACAAACAAATCAAGGAAACCCACAAAAACCACAACAACAAACAAACCCAAAAGACTACATAAATGGGGGAAAAACCCCATCAAACCAAAAAGACTACCTAAAGGCTACAGGAAGCTCAAAATAAAAGTTTTGCTCAAGTTGTTAAAGGAAAATCTCAACTTTGAACAGAGATCAGAAGTTTCAAAGGTATTTTTCTAGCTTTCATGCTCACATATAAATTTGCAAAAGAACCTGAACTATGGAATAGCAGAAAACACACAGAATGTCTTTCGGAAAGATGCCTTGTTTGTAGTGTCTGACATGTGCCCCTTCAGCCATTTTAGCTGGTAATAAGTGTAAACCTGCTTGATTTCTGGGGGATCACTTTGCTTTCTTCAGGCAAGTTTCTATTTAGAGTCACCTTGGCAGACAAAGGTATTTGTGAGTTCACTGTAAAGCAATGGAGATTTTCACTTATGAGTTCTTCTGTTTGTGTATTTTTTATTTCACAGATCTGATGAGATTATTATTGAACATTTATCAGATATTAATCTTCATTGAAATGGAGCTGGCATTTATTCCTTCACTAGAAGAAGTGGGAGAAGGTTGCTAGCAAATAGGGGTACTTCAGGTTTTTTCCCATTTTTTTCAGCTACCATCAGCATTGTGTTCCAGCTCACTAATGGTTTTAGAGATCCATGTGATTTTTATGCAAGTACTAAAATAAACCTGGAGAGCACTGCCTTAAAAATACACAGTACTAAAAAAGTGAAAGCTGTACTGTATGAACATAGCATGTAACTCAATCTGCTTCCCACTTTGGTTTTCAGTCATAAATCAAAATGTTACATTTTGATGTCTAGATACCATGTGCTTAATTTTCTTAGAATGCTGATGGTGTTTCACTGCCATAATCACTTTTTTTTTTTTTCAATTACGTAAAACTTTGATCTCACTACAATGGAGAGAATTTTTCTGACAGGGTGGCTGTTCACTTGTTTAATATCTAATTCACTGTCCATTTGAGTTGTTTTCCTTCTGTTTATTACTGCTAGTGCATCTCACTGGGAGAAGCTTGTATTTCTGGTAGCTTGTTGACATGAACAGAAGTCTCATATGTCCTATTCCTAGTATACTTTGAGACATTAAACTACAAAAAAATATTTCAAAATATTTCACATCCCATTCAATGAAAAAGCTGTATGTTATAATTTGGAAACATTTGTTACTTGCCCTGAGAATTTCTTCTCCATTCAGTTGCCTTGGCCTCAAAGTACCACAAACAACTCATCTAATTAGCAGGTACATATTGTTCAGGTGTGTATAAATTATGTGCACTGCCAAGTAGCAGGGCAGGTTCTGCAGGAAAACCTAGGATTTGAGAAAGGTGTGCCAATCAATGTTTAACAGACTTGAAAGTGATACCATGAAAAGAAAAACACTTAATTTTGGCGACAGTCTTCAAAAAGTAGCTATTTTGTTAATTGTATGATTACAACTGTAGTGTTAGGGCATGAGCTTAAGGATAAAGTTGTGCATCTTACTGAGACTCTGCAGATCCTGAGCATACTGAGAATTTTAGAATTTTAAACTTAATCTTGTGCTTCTCAGGTTTCTTATGTTTAGTGTGCTAGGTCAATAGTTGGAGTAACACTCCCAAGTCTTCCACTAAAACATGTCTTTAGGCACCACATCTTAATCTATTCAAATACTTCCAGTGATAGTGATTCAACCCCTTCCATCATGGGCAGCCTATTCTAGATGGAGAAAAACTTTTTATCAGGACTTGTAGCAATAGGGCAACTAAAAGGGGGTATATTCAGACTAGATACAAGGAAAAGTTTGTTTTACAGTGTGAGTGGGGGAACACTGTAACAGCTTGCCCACAAGAGGCGTGGATGCCCCATCCGTGCAAACATTGAAGGTTAGATTGGATGGGGCTCTGAGCAACCTGATCTAGTTAAAAATGTCCCTGGTCATTACAAGGAGATTGGACTAGATGGCTTTTCAAGGTCTCTTCCAACCCAAACCATTCTATGACTCTATGAACATCTGACCAGTTAGCTAGATTTGCATGGGCATGTGATGCTCCAACAGATTCTGCTCCGAATACTCCCAATATGGATGTTCTTCTAGGTCTGCATCTGAGACCTGGAAAAGCTATTCTGGTCTTGACAGCCTGAGTGATTCCTAATATTGCTCACTTGTCAGGCCTGTCAGGATAAGGAGCTGCCCAGCGATCACCTTTGATTTCATGCGGAGCCTAATGCACTGTGGATGAGAAGGCTGAGGACACCTGCTGCATCTTCTGCCTGATGTTACACCCAGAAGTCCCATTCTGGGCTTCAAATCTCTTTTCTGTCTGAGTATGCATCTTTCTGCAAACAAAATGCTCCAGCTGCTGCAGGGTTCTCTCTGAGTCAGGCAGTTCTGTTTTGCATGGAAACATCCCAAAGTGAACCTGAAACAACATGACCTAATATCTTTCTAGTACGGGCACTGACATGAATGTAGAAGTGCTGGGCTGTTTGTTCTTTCTCTAATTAATGTTAAATCGTTCTATTCAAAGTATAAATTGGAGTTGCGCATGAACTGTTTAAATTTCAGTTGCAGCAATTACCTTAGTCACTGTGTTTCAGATTTCACCCACTCTTGCAACCCTCCCTAAGTTACAACATGTGGAGAGGAGGAATCATCCTACCAGTTAGACCGTGAGAGGATGTGTTTGATCAAATTGTATTAGGCAAGGCAGGCACTTTAGTGTTCTGAGTGAGGTCATTAATTACCAAGGGGCTCAGTAGATACTCTTCCTTAGTCCCCCTTTATAAGGGAGGACTGGCTTCAGGGAATAATGGGAATAGATGATCCTTGAATGAGGTGGATGTCATGATATGACTTAATTCCCGCCATTGCCTCAGTCTCCCTTCCTTTCCCATTGGCTCTTGCTATTGCTGTGTAAGCATAAACCAACACAAATCGTCCAGAAGAAGCAGTTTCCCACTCCTTCCCAGCCTGATCCTTGGCCATTCTCTCTTATTCTTCTGCTCCCCCAGTCACTTGTGCTGTTGTGGCTTCTTGATGGAACTGATAAAGGAATAATCTGGCTGAAAACTATCCCACATAAGTGGTTTGGAACTGGTACCTGAGACAGGCTGCTGTACCGCCTCTTCCATGCTTTTGCTGGTGAAGAGTAGAGATGATCCAGCACAGCGCTCCTCAGGTGAACACACCATGGAACTAAGGCACTGCATGAGGCAACTTGGCCACTGCACACTCTGTCAGGGAAACTGGATTTACAGGATTTGGGTTTTGGGTTTTTTTTTTTACCAGGTTCTGTACTGAGCCTTCTACAAAGAGCCTGCATAGCTACAAGCCTGTGTAAATTTTTTTGTGTATATCTAATAAAGGTTTTTGAAGAAGGCACATCCCAGTTCTTTTTCCCTTATTTACTAGTGAACAGTTCAGTCCTTGAATGGACAAGGTTATCAAATCTGCAGAGTGAACCTTTCAATGCTATTTCTTCACAGAGAGGAAAACATTTACTCATTTTTTAGTCGTGATATCTAACCTTCCTTAATGGACGATGTATCTTTAGCTTTGTCTTCTGAAAGTTATTTACTTGATTGGGTCAATTTGCCCTTCCTTTGATAAATATAAAATAAAAAGATAAAAATCACATTCATATAAAATTATGAGGTCATTAGTGAACAACAGCTGGCATTACTCTCCAACATAATCATATTTCAAGTATGTCTGTCAGTTACCAGAATGAATTCTTATTGTTCTGTGTCACAGACTCTTGTGGCCTAGCTAATGTCTTTGGGGTATGCTTTAATTTACAAACTTGTTTAAAATTGTCTGAAATTATATCCACATGGGCAGAATATAATAAGAGGATATAATCATAAGGATAAGTTCATATATTACTTTAAATACTTTCTCAGTAATGCTGCTCAAAGAAATTATTAGTCCTGAAAACTCAGGAAGGTAGGATTCATTTAGCACTGACCTCAGCAAAAAGCTGCAGCTGCAGTTCAGTACCAGTTGAGCCTCAAACATTTAGTGGTCTTCTGTGGCAAAGTTGTTAGTAGGGTTGCATTTAAAAAATATAATTCTGTGACAACAGAGTCACTCCTTTAACTGTGCTGCAGAAATGAGCAAAGAAATTACTGACTATAAATGCATACTTGT